GTGTGTGTGTGTGCGCGCGTGTGTGTATGTGTGTGTGTGTGTGTGGTGAGTAGAAACTAGTGGAAGGATGGAGGCATCCAGCGGTTCTCTAACGGTATTTTCCTCTCGACCCCGGGCCCACACCACACAAATGTCCCACACGACACAAATGTCCCACACGACACAAATGTCCCACACGACACAAATGTCCCACACGACACAAATGTCCCACACGACACAAATGTCCCACACGACACAAATGTCCCACACGACACAAATGTCCCACACGACACAAATGTCCCACACGACACAAATGTCCCACACGACACAAATGTCCCACACGACACAAATGTCCCACACGACACAAATGTCCCACACGACACAAATGTCCCACACTAGCGCTGTGTGTGTGGGTGGGTGGGGGGGGGGGGTATAGACACACCCCAGACGTGACAGGGGTCACAAGCCACCAGTCTGAGAACCGCTGGCCAAGCTTATCTGCTGCACGAAGCAGACGGGCTGATCTGACAAGGTTAAGCCGCTGAATTCATCAGTCGAATGTCAAAGCACATCGCTCGAGGCCAGCTCTTCTTAAAACATATTTTCACATATTTTAATGCCCTGAAACAATTAATTTCAGCCATCCCCTCCCCCTCCCCCACCTTCCCATTAAAAGCTCTCCGCCCCGTCAGTCTGGCGCGTGCCAGTAGGTAGAGATGACTGACGTCACACGACACCAAAATGGCTGACCTTAAATCCTCCCGGCCTAATCAAAGGCCTGTCTTTGATCTTAATATATGACCGCGCGCCGCCCCGTGTTTTTATAGCCAGGTTTCCTTGTACACTTTCACATTGAAATCCACATCAACAAAGGCCAAGCCATTCTTCAACACTTTCAAAAATTTATGAAAAAAAAAACCACTAGAAGGCTGATGCGAATGTTTAATATTAAAATTTCGAGCTAGATTGGGGGGGGGGGGGGGGGGGGGTGTGAAACGGTAGAGGTAGGGAAGTTTGACACGGGGGGGGGGGGTGAAACGGTAGAGGTAGGGAAGTTTGACACGGGGGGGGGGGGGTGAAACGGTAGAGGTAGGGAAGTTTGACACGGGGGGGGGGGTGAAACGGTAGAGGTAGGGAAGTTTGACACGAGCCCGCGAAAAAGAATCTTCTCGATAATAAATTCAACGATGTTTGTCTTCTGATTGTTTCAAAATGGGCGGAAACTATATACATCAATTTTTCTTTCCATGTGTATTATTATTAGAACACTTTGAATTGACACAGCTGTAAAGTGTAATACAAAATAGTCACACATGTGTACATACATACATATAGGCTACATATATAGACACACAATGTACAGACATATACATCGGCTACATATATGCATCTTCCTGGGAACCATAGACACACATAGAAATGTGTTTTTACGCTCCCTCCTGTTCAAATCATTTTAAATATTTTATTAACACCATCCGCAATCGAGTTTACTAAACATCTCCAGGGTAAGGGAAGTAACAATGTTTAAACGATTACAAGAAAGATAACCCATTAATTTACCAAACATCTCCAGGGTAAGGGAAGTAACAATGTTTAAACGATTACAAGAAAGATAACCCATTAATTTACCAAACATCTCCAGGGTAAGGGAAGTAACAATGTTTAAACGATTACAAGAAAGATAACCCATTAATTTACCAAACATCTTCAGGGTAAGGGAAGTAACGATGTTTAAACGATTACAAGAAAGATAACCCATTAATTAAAAGTAGGTCCTATTTCGAGTCCAACTCATATTAGTAATTACAACAACATATTTGGTGTAATAAAACTAAAATTGGACATTTAGGCACACCGTAGTTGATGTAATATAAATAAAATTGATGTAACATAACTACTGTTGACTAAATGAAAATCCTGATATGTAATCCCTCATTAAGTATGATATTTGGCAAGAAGATTTCTCATAAACACATTTGTCCTAACAAGCTCATAGTTACATCCCTGGTAAACAGACTCATAGAAAAAAAAAACATAGGAAAAAGGTCAGATTTTTCTAGGAAAAAAGTCACAGAAAAAAGTCACAAAGGAAAAGTTTTATCGGGAAAAAAAAGTCACAAAAACCTTTTAAGAAATATTTTGATTTAATTATTGAGGATTGCAAAATTTCGAGTGTTTATTGATATGGGTTGTGTCTTTATGGTAGCATATTTATAAATGTTAAAAGCATTATGTATTCAGTATTCATCCTTTGTTATGTAATAAGCGTGATAAATGTGGACAGTAAAGGTTGTTGAACTATTTTTGCGATGAGTTGAGGGAAGCAAATCACATTAACTACGTCTTTATGCCATTTCACTCTGATTTAAGTTATTTTTTTTTAAACCAATGAAAATCGAGAAGGTTGGAACATTCTATCAAGTTGTATTAAATATTATATGTATAACGGAATTAAAACCTACATACTTTATTCTAAATATTTGTTCGTGTGCTATAAATATTACAATACGTATTAGACTTATGAACATTTCATTACATTTAATTATGTTGATATTCACTTTCGATATATTTAATACACAAAAATATTAACACATTTCATGCAAATACAAATTTGTGACTTTTTCCCTGTGACTTTTTTCCATGATTTTTTTTTGTGGGGTTTATTTTTCCTGTGACTTTTTTCCTCCCACCACATCCCTATCGCAGTGGTAGTTTTCCAATCTTTCGATTCATACATGAGCACAATACTTTTAAATACATGTAATTAGGTACTTAGATATCCATTAGCATACCAAAAGATTGGCTTGCTTTCCTTATTCCATTTTTTAAAACATTTTTGAAGCCATCTCCATCAGTTTCCTCTACTTGTTAGTCTTCTAGTTTTTACTTTGACATTAATTTTCTACTTAAATTCAGAAGAAAGTATACCCTACCCCACCCCCACCCCGAACGATATAGAATTGATATATATAATTTAGTCCCCCGAACGAAATAGAATTTATATAGAAAATGTAATCCCCCCCCCCCCTCCAAAAATTTAAAGTGCCCCCCTCCCCCCGTTAAAAAAAAGAAACACTGCTTAACTTCGGTGTTGATCGTTAGGCTTATCATTCGCAGCATACTCTGCCACACTACTAGATTCTACTAGCATTCTTTTGAATGCAATGGTGACTTCTTGCTAGCAAAATCCGATTATCAGCATAATCCAAGTCGTCTAGGGTGGAGGTAAAAGACGCAACCCCCCCCCCCCCCCCCTTCCCCGATGATATACCTTAACCCTTTATCTACTGACGGTACTTATAAGTACCACTTTAATTAAGTGCCTGTATTATATTAAATTACATACGAATTTTAAAAATTATTGATGTATTTTATAGTATTATCTCCCCCGTGTCGCCGGTAGTCGGAGGTATCAATGTTTTTAAAAAAATTAATGGTGTGGCGCTTTTTCAATGTCTTGCTATATCGGTAGTTCACAATTTTTCTGTACATTTCTCACACCCGTTCCTGATTTCCTTTTGTTTTACCTTATTTTTCAAGTTTTCAACCCCAAATATTTTTTATTGGCACCTTCAATAGTCAGGCAAACGCGTTTAACTTCTAGTTATACAATTTTAATCAAATTGTCTTTATATTAGATCGATGTTTACAAGTGGACTTATAAGTACCGTCAGGGCACACGGTCATTTTTTTTTAGGATTTTTAGAAAATTGCAGATTTGTTAGGTGGAGTTACATAAATATTGTCTTGATAATTACTTATCGAAATGTACTCAAAAAATGATATTTACACATTTATAAGAAGGTTTGCATATGGTTTACCTAAGAAATATTGTAATTACATGTAATTACATGTTCATTTCTAGTAGTAAAAAAATAACAAGAATAAAGGTATCAGTTGCAGGCTCGTTTATAAGGTTTAGTATACTTCATTTGTATACCAAAGCCTAGTTCAGGTTGTAAGATTTAATTTGTTAGTTATATTTACTGCAATGAACTGTCATGCCTACAACAACTAGCATTTACATAATGTATACCTGTAGACTAGTAATAGTCCATACTTCTGCATATAGTATAGATCTATAAGGTAAATTTAAATCAGTAAGCAGAAAAGAGTAATCCACTACTTCTTCCAAAACACATTGAGCTCACTTCTATTTATGAACTTTGCACTGTAGTGTAGACTTGTCATAACATTATAGTAGGCTACAATTATATTAGTATTTCTAGTAGTTGTGTGCTGAATGACTAGGCTTTTGTTTGTTTATGCGGCTCATTGTACTAGTTATTGGAAGCTTCCAGCAAAAGCATATTCATTCCGGCAACCGTTGCAACACTAGAAAGACCACAGACAAGATTGAGGGAGCATGACATGTCGACTACTTTTGCTGTGTTTGAGGTCTAAGATGTGTTCCGATAGAAAATCCAGTAAAAATCGTACTCAAAATATACTTTTGTGCTGTATTTATGTGTGAAAATTACAAAAAAGTGATTGTTATAATGATTGCCATGTTATTAGTTAATAAATTGTATCGTTTGTTCCTGTTTTGTAAAAAAAAATTTTTTGAAAAAAAAATGTCCTAGTTTACTGACGGTACTTATAAGTACAAATATCTGTTTGGGCCATTAAAAATTTATGAAACGAAAGTTCCTTCGATATATGCTTTGAATGTGCCAAAAGCAATATAGTAACACATTGTTTAAGTAAAAATCTCATTCAGAACATAATTCCGTAAATAAAGGGTTAAAGAAACTGAAACCGCAAGACAGTTTAATTATATAGGCTAAATTAATTGATATAAAACATTACCACTATATTCTATAAGACTATTTAATCAAATCAGAGCCATTCTTGTTTAAAAATTAAATTAAATTACAACTATTTAAAAACTTCACAATTTGTGCGGTATTTAAAATGGGGGATTGACCATTACGATTCACCGCAAAAATGTAATAAAGAACTGTAACTCCGAAATATTTTTTTACGTCGTGTTGATTTATGAAAATGGGTCTAAATCTAGATCTATAGGTCTAGTAGATCTACTAAATTCAAAATTCTGACTACACAAGCTTCGTGACAAGGCAAGCCACAGACTGGATCTAATCTAGAATCTAGATTAGAATAGATCTAGATCTAGGTCTAGATCTAGTCGACTTAGTCTTCTTAGTCTAGTTTCTAAGAAGGAGCTAAGACCAGGTGAGGACCTCACCAGGACTAGATCTAGAGACTAGATCTAGAAATCTAGTAGACTCTGACTCTGAATCGCATGCTATACTTAACCATACTACTACTACTACTATACTATCTATAGTATAGAAAATAGATCTAGATCTAATAAAAATTTTAATATATAATAATTATAAATAGGGTCTCTATAGGCCTAATATTATTATAATAAGGTAATCTATCGTTTTGGGTACGTAAAATCGCCCGCGGCTATTAATGTACGAAAACGTTACCTCATTGTCAATGCTGTAAAAAGAAGTATATTGTGATATGTTTATGTCAAATATTATAGATAAATGGATAATAAACCTAAATCAATGGCTAAATATATCAATATTGGCCAGAAATTAACTTTAAACAGCAGTGTCTGCAAGCAAGATTTGCTATATAAACAGCCGCCATTTGTAAAAATAGAGTGACTTCCTCCTGAATCTTGCGCTTTAAGTCTATAAAAATAAAACTTTTACAAGATGGCTGCTATAGTAAATGAGCATGGTTGCATCTGTTGGAAACATCGCTAGTCTTCTTTTATTACTGAAAAGTTTTAATTAAATTGTTTAAAAACAGGTACAGAAATGAAACAAGGAAACATTTTTGTATTTTTAAAACATAAATCCTCCTCAAAATGTGAAATAATTATTAAAATGTAAGGAGTCACCTGTTTTTCACATTACTAGTCGCGGGCGATTTTACGTACCCAAAACGATAGATTACCTATAATAAATAATATTAAATATAATCCTACTAGAATCTAGTAGTAGGCCTAATTAATTATTAACTTAATATTAACTAATTAATTTTTATTTAATATTTAGGCCCTAAGAAACAGAGAAATAAAAACTTGCATAAGGTTTGGGACAATTTGCAAAACATAATTAATAAAATAGTTTAAGGCCTAAACGTTAGCAAAAACTAAAAACATTTTAAATTAAATAGGCCTACTAGATCTAGATCTAAATAGCAATACAAAATGATTAGTGAAATAGTAAGCCTATAGGCCTAGCTAAAATCAATCTATCCAAATTTAAAAACGTTCTATATTTTAAAAAGTACTTTCAGAGGATTTTGGAAAGGCGTTACAGACTACACCAATGTTTTCCTGTTTTTTTTTTTAACTGCTATACCATTCTGGAATAATAACAGGCGCTATATATATAGTGAGATTACTGTTTTTCGTCTCAGTACAGGCTTAGTCTAGGACTCACTACCCTAGCCTGTAGGATCTGTCGGATTTGTCTTAAACATTAGCCCTATTCTTTCATAGTGTAGCTAGATAAAATCATCTACAAAATAGGAGAATGTTGCTATATGACACAGAGAATGTTGCTATATGACACGAATATGTTAGTCTGGTGACCAGCGTTTACATATGTTTTTGGCATGTTTGTTAATCAAATGGTGGAGATAACATGAAATAGAGAGGCTGTAATAATTGTTTACACCTCCCTTTTTCCCTACAGATAAAGATGGAATCTCTGGAGGAGATGATGAGGTTTGACAAGGGTAAACTTTCAGCACCAATCAAAACTGTTGAGGTAAGTGAGGAAAGTTTTCTTAGCTCATTTATACAGACAGCTAGGGAACAAAAGTATCAGAAATTTGAACAACTTCTATGTACCACCATAGAACAAAAGTATCAGAAGTTTGTACAACTTTTATGTACCATCATGGAACAAAAGTATCAGAAATTTGAACAACTTCTCTGTACCATCATGGAACAAAAGTATCAGAAGTTTGTACAACTTCTATGTACCATCATGGAACAAAAGTATCAGTAATTTGTACAACTTCTATGTACCACCATAGAACAAAAGTATCAGAAGTTTGTACAACTTTTATGTACCATCATGGAACAAAAGTATCAGAAATTTGAACAACTTCTCTGTACCATCATGGAACAAAAGTATCAGAAATTTGAACAACTTCTATGTACCACCATGGAACAAAAGTATCAGTAATTTGTACAACTTCTATGTACCACCATGGAACAAAAGTATCAGAAGTTTGTGCAACTTCTATGTACCATCATGGAACAAAAGTATCAAATTTTTTTACTGCCAGATATTAAGATTTTTTAGTGATGATGGCAGGTGGTGTATTTTTGCAGTACCAATATTGAAATTAAATTGTAATGTAGAGTAACTTAGAATTGGATGATGCAATGTTTACATGTTGTGCTAACACTAATACAATGTATACCTGTGTAACCAAGGAGAAATGGAGGCTGCTTCCTGCTTTCTTGAAGACTAAAGGACTGGTCAAGCAGCACATTGATTCCTTCAACTATTTCATCAATGTTGAGGTATTGCTTTCTTACCTGCTATTACTTTCTTTAATGTCAGTTTTAGAATATTATCTGCTGTGTATTCTAATCATAAGGAAGTCTAATGATAATATCAATTTGTGCTGTTTAGATCAAGAAAATTATCTAGGCTAATGATAATATTATCAATTTGTGCTGTTTAGATCAAGAAAATTATCTAGGCTAATGATAATATTATCAATTTGTGCTGTTTAGATCAAGAAAATTATGAAGGCTAATGATAATATTATCAATTTGTGCTGTTTAGATCAAGAAAATTATGAAGGCTAATGATAATATTATCAATTTGTGCTGTTTAGATCAAGAAAATTATGAAGGCTAATGATAAGATACTGAGTGATGCAGATCCAAATTTTTACCTCAAGTAAGTTCCCATCACATTTAGTGTTAATGAGCTGCTGAATGTCGTTGGGGGGGGGGGGGGGGGGTTAAGAGCCAGACATTCTCCCTACAGATACTTGCTCGATCTCATTTGGGCAAGTGTCCATTGGGGGAAGTGTCCATTGGGGCAAGTGTCCATTGGGGGAAGTGTCCATTGGGGCAAGTGTCCATTGGGGCAAGTGTCCATTGGAGCAAGTGTCCATTGGGGGAACAACCAAAAACACCCAGCTGAAAGGCCAGTGAATTGAGGGCAAGATGACAGCTGTGTTTGTTGTGATGTCATTGGCAAGTAAATTGAGGGCAAGATAAAGCTGTGTGTGTTATGATGTATGCCATCTCTGTCTGCACCATTTGAAACATTGTGACCATTTCAGGTATCTCAACATTTATGTGGGCATGCCCAATGTCCAGGAGAGTCTAGGAATTGCCCAGTCCATATCGCCACATGAGGTCTGTTTTATCTAGTCAGTCTATATTATTCTAAGCTTTTCTCTCCAATGATTTTCTTGATGCATGACTTGGATCTTTTCTTCCCTCAAGTGCCGCTTGCGTGACATCACCTACTCAGCTCCAATAACTGTAGACATTGAGTTTGTCAGGGGGAAGCAACCCTACATCAAGAAAAATGTGGAGATTGGCAGGTAAGACATGCCATGGGTTTGCTTGTAAACTACAAAAGAAAAATTGATTTTTTTAATCTGTTCAAAGCCACAGTGTACTATGTTAAGAAAATGCCTTCAAATACCTTATCTCCTACAGAAATAAAGTGATTCAAAATATCTTCTACTTCAGAAAATAAACCGGGAGTGATCTCCCCTAAACTTTCTCGAATATTATTATATAAAACAACAGGGGATGGCAACTCGGGATATAGACATGATTTTTTATCCATTTTTAATTACTTAAACTTTTTAAAATAGAATAGAATATCCCAGAAAAAAGAATTGCACACCAAGTAAACGCAAAACAAAATGTGTATAATAGTGCGGAATATTATTAGTACTTTATACATTTACATGCATTTTTTGAGAAATCGATAATAACAAAAATAACTACTTCCAGTCAAAGAAAATTACTCAAAATTTGACAGAAGGTAGAGGATTAGATCTTTTACTTACATGTGAAATTTCATTTATCTATCTGAAACAGTACTAAAGTTATAGGCTTTTGAAAAATTGAAAGTAGAAAAAGTCCCCCTTCCAGTTATCGGAAATTGCTCAAAAGTTGATCAGGATCTACGATTTAGATATAATACTTATATATGAAATGTCATCAACCTAGCTTTAACGGTACCCAAGTTATCGTGTTTACACACACACACACACACACACACACACAGACATACTGACAAGATTGCAAAACTATGTTTTTCGACTCAGGGAGGTGTAAAATGTCGAGATTTGTCTCGATTTTTTTTTTTGCACGATTACAACTTTCTCTATACTTTGTATATACGAGAGAGTAAAAAAGCAGTTAATATCTGATCTTTTATTTCCTCAGGATGCCCATTATGTTGAGAAGCTCTAATTGTATTTTGACTGGGAAAACTGCTGCAGAGATGGCCCAGCTGAACGAGTGCCCCATGGACCCTGGGGGCTATTTTATAGTGCGGGGGGCGGAGAAGGTCATCCTAATCCAGGAGCAGCTGTCTAAAAATAGAATGATTGTGGACAAAGACAACAAAGGAAACATTGAATGTTCTGTCACAAGGTAATAGCACATTTTTGTCACAAGGTAATGGCCCACTTTTGTCACAAGGTAATGGCACATTTTTGTCCTTATGTATGTGATGTCCATGTCCTTTACACAACCCTATAGTTGAGTTGGTTGTGCAAATAGTGGTGTTGTACTTGACCTGCCCTGTGTAAGTTGTGGTAATGTGATTAAGACTTGAATATTTCTGTCTCTCGTCTAGTTCCACCCATGAGCGTAAAAGTAAAACGTACGTGTACATCAAGAAAGGCAAGTTTTACCTCAAGCACAATATCTTCTCTGAGGTGAGGCTCACACATTGTATCTGGCTACAAACTTGCTCAACAAACATATTCAATTAATTTGTTTTTACCTTTGAAGAACACCCTCACAGTAAGAGGGAAATTATTAAAAACAAATTTCCCTTAAATATTTTGCAGTAAACATTTCTTAAAATTTCCCTAAAATATTTTACAGTAATATTTGCTGAAAATCTCCTTCAATATTTTAGAGTAATATTTTGTAAAAAGGAAAAATTTCCATCTAGAAATAGTAAGAGTTGTGCTAAATCTGTCTCATCTTCTAAAAACTTTGTGTAGGTGGGCAGTAATATTTGTGAGTGTTTATTCCAGGATATTCCAGTAGCCATAGCGTTTAAAGCCATGGGCTAATATTTTTATTCCAGGATATTCCAGTAGCCATAGCTTTTAAAGCCATGGGCTAATATTTTTATTCCAGGATATTCCAGTAGCCATAGCGTTTAAAGCCATGGGCTAATATTTTTATTCCAGGATATTCCAGTAGCCATAGCGTTTAAAGCCATGGGCTAATATTTGTGTTTATTCCAGGATATTCCAGTAGCCATAGCTTTTAAAGCCATGGGCTAATATTTTTATTCCAGGATATTCCAGTAGCCATAGCTTTTAAAGCCATGGGCTAATATTTGTGTTTATTCCAGGATATTCCAGTAGCCATAGCTTTTAAAGCCATGGGCTAATATTTGTGTTTATTCCAGGATATTCCAGTAGCCATAGCTTTTAAAGCCATGGGCTAATATTTGTGTTTATTCCAGGATATTCCAGTAGCCATAGCTTTTAAAGCCATGGGCTAATATTTTTATTCCAGGATATTCCAGTAGCCATAGCTTTTAAAGCCATGGGCTAATATTTGTGTTTATTCCAGGATATTCCAGTAGCCATAGCTTTTAAAGCCATGGGCTAATATTTGTGTTTATTCCAGGATATTCCAGTAGCCATAGCTTTTAAAGCCATGGGCTAATATTTTTATTCCAGGATATTCCAGTAGCCATAGCTTTTAAAGCCATGGGCTAATATTTGTGTTTATTCCAGGATATTCCAGTAGCCATAGCTTTTAAAGCCATGGGCTAATATTTGTGTTTATTCCAGGATATTCCAGTAGCCATAGCTTTTAAAGCCATGGGCTAATATTTTTATTCCAGGATATTCCAGTAGCCATAGCTTTTAAAGCCATGGGCTAATATTTGTGTTTATTCCAGGATATTCCAGTAGCCATAGCTTTTAAAGCCATGGGCTAATATTTGTGTTTATTCCAGGATATTCCAGTAGCCATAGCTTTTAAAGCCATGGGCTAATATTTGTGTTTATTCCAGGATATTCCAGTAGCCATAGCTTTTAAAGCCATGGGCTAATATTTTTATTCCAGGATATTCCAGTAGCCATAGCTTTTAAAGCCATGGGCTAATATTTGTGTTTATTCCAGGATATTCCAGTAGCCATAGCTTTTAAAGCCATGGGCTAATATTTTTATTCCAGGATATTCCAGTAGCCATAGCTTTTAAAGCCATGGGCTAATATTTTTATTCCAGGATATTCCAGTAGCCATAGCTTTTAAAGCCATGGGCTAATATTTGTGTTTATTCCAGGATATTCCAGTAGCCATAGCTTTTAAAGCCATGGGCTAATATTTTTATTCCAGGATATTCCAGTAGCCATAGCTTTTAAAGCCATGGGCTAATATTTTTATTCCAGGATATTCCAGTAGCCATAGCTTTTAAAGCCATGGGCTAATATTTTTATTCCAGGATATTCCAGTAGCCATAGCTTTTAAAGCCATGGGCTAATATTTGTGTTTATTCCAGGATATTCCAGTAGCCATAGCTTTTAAAGCCATGGGCTAATATTTTTATTCCAGGATATTCCAGTAGCCATAGCTTTTAAAGCCATGGGCTAATATTTTTATTCCAGGATATTCCAGTAGCCATAGCTTTTAAAGCCATGGGCGTGGCCTGTGATCAGGACATCATCCAGCTGGTGGGCAATGAAGAGGAGGCCTTTGATGCCATGTCACCCTGTCTGGAGGAGTGCCATAGGGCCCAGGTCTTCACACCCACACAGGTAGGCTTTAGCACATGATAGGACACACAGGTAGGCTTTAGCACATGATAGGACACACAGGTAGGCTTTAGCACATGATAGGACATACAGGTAGGCTTTAGCATTTACATGATAGGGCACACAGGTAGGCTGGATTCTTTTGCTGGCTTTTTACATGAAAAGTTTTACCATGTTTGTTGATACGTTTTACTATATATGTGTTACGTTCAACAGGCACTGGAGTACATCTATGCCAAGATCCGCCAGAGAATGTACGGGACAAAAAAATCAAAAGCTGATGAAGCCAGAGATGTGCTGAAAAATGTGATTTTGGCCCATGTCCCAGTAAGTCAAACATTACAAATGTGATTTTGGCCCATGTCCCAGTAAGTCAAACATTACAAATGCTTTAATGTCCCCTTCAGTTAAATATCTTCTTGTTGTCCATGATGATAAAATCCAAGTTAGCTCCTACCAAGATAAAATATGAACTACCACTTGCCAGGTGATTGAGTGGAACTTTAAGCCAAAAGCCATCTACTTGGCCCTGATGGTGCGCAGGATTGTGCTGACCCAGGCTGGCAAGATCAAGCTGGATGACAGTGATTACTATGGCAACAAGAGGCTGGAGCTGGCTGGACAACTGCTCTCTCTGCTCTTTGAGGATCTCTTCAAGCTCTACAACCTGGACGTAGGTTCATACATCACCTCACTACATCTAGGTTCAACATCTACAACCTGGACATAGGTTCACACATCTTTACCTCACTACATCTTCACCTCACTACATCTTCACCTCACTACATCTTCACCTCACTACATCTAGGTTCAACATCTACAACCTACATGTAGGTTCACACATCTTCACCTCACTATATCTTCACCTCACTACATCTAGGTTCAACATCTACAACCTGGACGTAGGTTCACATCACCTCACTATATCTTCACCTCACTACATCTTCACCTCACTACATCTAGGTTCAACATCTACAACCTGGACGTAGGTTCACATCTTTACCTCACTACATCTAGGTTCAACATCTACAACCTGGACATAGGTTCACATCACCTCACTACATCTAGGTTCAACATCTACAACCTGGACGTAGGTTCATACATCTTCACCTCACTACATCTAGGTTCAACATCTACAACCTGGATGTAGGTTCACATCACCTCACTACATCTGGGTTCAACATCTACAACCTGGACGTAGGTTCACACATCTTTACCTCACTCCACCTAGGTTCAACATCTACAACCTGCATGTAGGTTCATACCACCTCACTACATCTAGGTTCAACATCTACAACCTGGACGTAGGTTCACATCACCTCACTATATCTTCACCTCACTACATCTTCACCTCACTACATCTAGGTTCAACATCTACAACCTGGACGTAGGTTCACATCTTTACCTCACTACATCTAGGTTCAACATCTACAACCTGGACATAGGTTCACATCACCTCACTACATCTAGGTTCAACATCTACAACCTGGATGTAGGTTCACACATCTTTACCTCACTACATCTAGTTGTATGGGGTAGCATAGATTTGATACAAAAAATATATGTACATATCTTTATTTCTCATTCTTATGAATTGTATCCAATGTTCTGACACTGATGTTCTTTCAGCTGAAGAAGGTCGCTGACAAAAACATCCCAAAGGTCAGGGCCACAGAGTTTGACATCACAAAGTTCATGAGGACAGACCCTATAACCAATGGGCTGGCTAATGCCATTGCTACTGTAAGCCTTAGATAATTTTTAACCAATGGGCTGGCTACTGTAAGCCTTAGATCATTTAACCAATGGGCTGGCTACTGTAAGCCTTAGATAATTTTTAACCAATGGGCTGGCTACTGTAAGCCTTAGATCATTTAACCAATCGGCTGGCTAATGCCATTGCTACTGTAAGCCTTAGATCATTTAACCAATGGGCTGGCTACTGTAAGCCTTAGATCATTTAACCAATGGGCTGGCTAATGCCATTGCTACTGTAAGCCTTAGATCATTTAACCAATGGACTGGCTAATGCCATTGCTACTGTAAGCCTTAGATCATTTAACCAATGGGCTGGCTACTGTAAGCCTTAGATCATTTAACCAATGGGCTGGCTACTGTAAGCCTTAGATCATTTAACCAATGGGCTGGCTAATGCCATTGCTACTGTAAGCCTTAGATCATTTAACCAATGGGCTGGCTACTGTAAGCCTTAGATCATTTAACCAATGGGCTGGCTAATGCCATTGCTACTGTAAGCCTTAGATCATTTAACCAATGGACTGGCTAATGCCATTGCTACTGTAAGCCTTAGATCATTTAACCAATGGGCTGGCTACTGTAAGCCTTAGATCATTTAACCAATCGGCTGGCTAATGCCATTGCTACTGTAAGCCTTAGATCATTTAACCAATGGGCTGGCTACTGTAAGCCTTAGATCATATAACCAATGGGCTGGCTAATGCCATTGCTACTGTAAGCCTTAGATCCTTTAACCAATGGACTGGCTAATGCCATTGCTACTGTAAGCCTTAGATCATTTAACCAATGGGCTGGCTAATGCCATTGCTACTGTAAGCCTTAGATCCTTTAACCAATGGGCTGGCTACTGTAAGCCTTAGATCCTTTAACCAATGGACTGGCTACTGTAAGCCTTAGATCATTTAACCAATCGGCTGGCTAATGCCATTGCTACTGTAAGCCTTAGATCATTTAACCAATGGACTGGCTACTGTAAGCCTTAGATCCTTTAACCAATGGGCTGGCTACTGTAAGCCTTAGATCATTTAACCAATGGGCTGGCTAATGCCATTGCTACTGTAAGCCTTAGATCTTTTAACCAATGGGCTGGCTACTGTAAGCCTTAGATCATTTAACCAATGGGCTGGCTACTGTAAGCCTTAGATCATTTAACCAATGGACTGGCTACTGTAAGCCTTAGATCATTTAACCAATGGGCTGGCTACTGTAAGCCTTAGATCATTTAACCAATGGGCTGGCTACTGTAAGCCTTAGATCATTTAACCAATGGACTGGCTAATGCCATTGCTACTGTAAGCCTTAGATCATTTAACCAATGGGCTGGCTACTGTAAGCCTTAGATCATTTAACCAATGGGCTGGCTACTGTAAGCCTTAGATCATTTAACCAATGGGCTGGCTAATGCCATTGCTACTGTAAGCCTTAGATCATTTAACCAATGGGCTGGCTAATGCCATTGCTACTGTAAGCCTTAGATCATTTAACCAATGGACTGGCTAATGCCATTGCTACTGTAAGCCTTAGATCATTTAACCAATGGGCTGGCTACTGTAAGCCTTAGATCATTCAACCAATGGGCTGGCTACTGTAAGCCTTAGATCATTTAACCAATCGGCTGGCTAATGCCATTGCTACTGTAAGCCTTAGATCATTTAACCAATGGGCTGGCTACTGTAAGCCTTAGATCATTTAACCAATGGGCTGGCTAATGCCATTGCTACTGTAAGCCTTAGATCATTTAACCAATGGGCTGGCTAATGCCATTGCTACTGTAAGCCTTAGATCATTTAACCAATGGGCTGGCTAATGCCATTGCTACTGTAAGCCTTAGATCATTTAACCAATGGACTGACTAATGCCATTGCTACTGTAAGCCTTAGATCATTTAACCAATGGGCTGGCTACTGTAAGCCTTAGATCATATAACAAATGGGTTGGCTACTGTAAGCCTTAGATCCTTTAACCAATGGACTGGCTAATGCCATTGCTACTGTAAGCCTTAGATCATTTAACCAATGGGCTGTGTTAGGTCAGAATCCCACAAACACCTATTCATTAGATAATTACAGGGTACACAGTAGGGATGGACAGTAGGTGACGCGTTCAAAGGAGACTGACCGCTCTGACAGGACAATAGTAGTCTTTATACTGACCAGTAGCCAGGGTTGTTAGCGCCAGGGGGGATAATTTGTTAGGTCACATGTTCTGAGCTCATTGTCCCGTGGGAACAGCTAGGGGGTTAAGACAGGGGTATAAATACAGGCAGGTTAGTTAGTCTCTCTCTCTCTCTCGCACAAGCGCTCCCGACGTTAGCGGTTAGGGGAAGCCTCGCTCAGCAGAACAGGCATTCAGCACATTAATAAACAGCATAAACTAAGAAGGTCTCCTGTTCCGTTGATTACTTCACTGTAGCTGACTCGGGTAGAATAATTAAATACCCCTAGACAACGACGGCCTTATTGGCTAGTGCCCGAGCCAGTGTCAGCAACGTATTCGGCCGGCGACTAAGCAACCGGACGGCAACATCGTAGTCCTGGTCTGCAACATCTGGGGACTCGTCCTATCGGACATAAGGGCCTCTCACAAGATCGAAGCTTCCCGCATGATATTTTTCCTGCACAAGTTGTCGCTATTGCAACTGTTCCTGTAAGAAGCTGTTCCTGTAAGAAGCTGTACCAGTAAGAAGCTGTTCCTGTAAGAAGCTGTACCAGTAAGAAGCTGTTCCTGTAAGAAGCTGTTCCTGTAAGAAGCTGTTCCTGTAAGAAGCTGTTCCTGTAAGAAGCTGTTCCTGTAAGAAGCTGTACCAGTAAGAAGCTGTTCCAGTAAGAAGCTGTTCCTGCAAGAACTGTTACTGCCCTCGTATCAAGCTATCCTGTACGAAACTGTTCTGGTACCAGCTGCTCCTGTATTGGATGTTCCTGTAAACTAAACTGTACTGTGCAACGAGCTCCCGTAACAACCGTTCCCGCAAGACGCTATCCGTGTTAGAAGCTGTTCCTGCAACAGACGTCCGTAAACAACGTTCCCATACGAAGTGTTCCTTGGCCAGAGTCTAGCAAGTCACGAAGTGAGCCGTGTGAAGACTACGCTGATGTCCACCGAACTCATCGTTGATGTCCTTTAGTCTACCAACCCAGAAGCCAAGTGTATTTTGTGTGTGAGCGTGTGAAGGTGCAGCAGCCTGCTGATATATTGGACCAGCACTCCTGACCTACAATCACACTCTGGGGTAAGTGCCTTTTGTATCAGCCCTCGTGCGGTGCTCTCGGCAAGCAACTTACTCTGGTTTTCTTCTACCATTGGGGTTAGATATACCCGCGTGAAATTCTCTATAGTCGTAGAGGTTAAGTAAACTTCCTGAGTTGCCATTACTGGGGTTTCTAGGTAGGCTAGTTGGGAATTTTTCGTTAACATAAAGCATACACGGCAGTCTCGGCGTAAGCGTCACAAACAGTTGTTACCTGCTAGCGTTGTAGTGGGCGTAACCTTAACCGCTGTAGTTACAATAGGTCGTACATTCGAATAAGACGTGTCAGACGTACACCCCCGCTGGTCACGCTACACGGACCGCAATTAACCCTTCCGCCTAGTTGCGTGCCTGGACTTTCACTGACCACTACTTGACATTGTTCGTCTTTCATTTCGACCAATAGAAACTACCCGACACGCCCACCGTGACTGTGACAATGAGCGGTGAAGATAAATTGTCGCTTGGCTATTACTTGGCATTGGGTCAGAAGTATAAAATTTGCCAAGGGAGTAAACTATTAGAGTGGGCTGAAAATAAACTAGCAGAAGCAGAAGAAAAACATAGAGAGGAAACAAAACTAAAGATAGAGTTAGCCGAACGAGAGGCTAAGAGAGATTTAGAAAAACTAAGAATAGAATCAGAAGAAATGGTTAAATTAAAAACCCTCGAACTGGAGCAACAAAGTTTGTGTAACCAACGGGTAGTTGAACAAACAAAATCATATGTCCCACGTCTCAAGCTGATTGGTTTAAAAAGTAACGGTGGTCCAATGGACATGGAAGTAGTGATAGATATTTTTGAAAGAGAAGCTAGAGAGGTAGGGTTAGATCATAGATATTGGTGCCATGAGTTCAGGAAAGTCCTGTTAGACAGAGGCTGTGATGCCTGGTTAACTGAGCTAGGAGCAGAAGAAGACTACACCAAATTAAAACGAGAAGTTCTGAAACATTTTGGGCTGACAGAGTCAGGCTACAGCAATAGGTTTAACTCATCCAAACCCAACTCTGAGGACAAACCAGGAAGCTACATTAGGAGAACTAGACATTATTTGAAGAGATGGGTCGAACTAAGCGGGATAGAGAAAACTTATGACGGTCTGTTTGATCTGATTCTTAAAGATAAAATCTTAAGGACAGTAAGTGAAGATATCAGACAACACATTCTAGTACATAACCCTAGGACTGTTGACGAGGTGGAGAAACAGTGTGACAACTATTTCGCTATATTTCCGACGAAACAGCTAGGCGACTCACCAGATGCACCGACAGAGCTTATAGCTACCATAGCAGAATCAATGCAATCAGTCTTAAAAGATGACCGACGTCTTAGTAGATCAAATTCACCGCACTTCAGACACAGCTATAGACACAACACACATAGCTCGAAATCACCGCAATACAGACACCATCCTAGGGACAACTCTGGTCCTCGTCGATCACAATTCAAAAAACATAGACAGAATTCTGACTCAGACAGTGATAGTTATGTCCAGTCACCGGGTCCATCTCGACAAACTACTCGGACTTATAACAACTCGCCTCGACCACAAACTAAATGTTTTTCATGCGGCTTAAGGGGCCATATAGCAGCTGATTGTAATGTTGATACCGAACGGACACAACGACAGGGGCGTAATAAATCACCTAAGGTGGATAAGAGCAGAAACAAACAGAAGAAGGTCAGTTTTAGAAACAAAGAAAGATGACTAGTCCCCGAGTTTAGTGGAGAGTGCGAAGATTGTGAACAGTGTATCAACCAAATGAAATTTACCTTGCCAATAGGGAACATAGTTAGCGATCAGTGGGAAAAACGTTTTAAGGGAAAACTACCTATCGTCTCTGGAAAATTAGACAATCAGACAGTTACTGTTTTGCGCGACACAGGCTCTGTAGTAATAGCGTGTAGGAAACAGTTAGTGGACAGAAGTAGGTGGAATCGTGGTAGGATGACGATTAAGACAGCCAACGGTGACAGCAAGAGAGTGCCTAGAGCGTTGGTGAGCATTGAAACTCCTTATCTTACTGGAGAGTTTCTAGCCGTCCTTTTAGATGACCCCCCTGCAGACCTTATAGTCGGCAATGTAGGGGGAGCCAAGCCTCCATCTAACGAAGACCTTGGTATTATCGCTGCTGTAGAAACAAGAGGGAAAGCCAGAAATAAGAACAAACTAGATGGGAAACAAACTTATAACATCCTAGGCAAAACTGTATCGGCTGAGGAATTTAGGAGACAACAGTCCAACGATGATACCCTCAAAAATTGGTGGAAGTCTGCAAAAAAGGGTGATAAGAAGTGCACAATTGTAGACGGCTTGTTGTTCAAAGTCGTCGGACACATTAGAGGGGAAGATCAAATTCGTTTAGTCGTTCCATCAGCACTTAGAGATACTGTGTTAAAACTAGGCCACGACACACCCATGGCCGGCCACATGGGGTTGGCTAGAACAAAAGCCCGGATCTTCTCAGAGTTTAGATGGCCAGGCGCAGCTGGAGACATAAGAAAGTACTGCTACAGTTGTGACACATGCCAGAAAGGCAAGAAGAATATCGGCAATAAAGCGCCGCTAGGTAGATCACAAGTGGTTGGACAACCATTTGCCAAGTTAGCCATTGATATTGTAGGACCTTTAAAGCTTACAAAGAAGAGAAATGGGTTTATCCTAACGGCTATAGATCTATGTACAAGATGGCCTGAAGCGGTACCTCTCAAAAGTATAACTGCATCGGAGGTTCAAGATGCTCTGGTCTCAATTTTTACTAGAATGGGATTCCCTGAAGTTATCTTGTCGGATAATGGGTCCCAATTTACGTCGGAAATTTTCAACAAGGTTTCGAAGCTGCTAGGTATTAAACTGGTGCATTCATCAGCGTACCACGCCATGTCAAATGGGGCAGTTGAAAGATGGAATGGTACTTTCAAGGAAATGCTGAGAAAAATCACAGCAGATAGACAGGAAGACTGGGACGAATTTATACCGGCAGCTCTGTTCGCCTATAGGGAAGTCCCAAATGAAATCACCGGCTATTCACCCTTCGAACTCATGTTCGGTAGAAAAGTTAGGGGACCTATGAACATACTCAGGTCCATTTTTACAGGCGAAGGAAATACAGACTGTAAGACTAGGTTAGCATATGACTACTTACTTGACTTAAAACAAAAATTACAGTCAGCGTGTAGGTACGCTACAAGAAAGACAGAAATAAGTAAAGATAAATACAAAGAGTATTATGACAAATCAACTAAAGTAAAAGACATTAGAATTGGCGACCATGTGCTGGTCCTAAAGCCTCAACTGCTAAACAAGTTAGAGCTTAGATGGGCAGGGCCTTACGAGGTTGTTAACAAAATCTCAGACCTAGACTATGTTGTTAGAGTCGGTGAGAGGACTAAAGTCTTCCACGTAAACCGGATAATACTGTACCATCACAGGAATAATTCAGATAAGTCCAAAACACATCCCGTGCTAGCGGCCGTATCGGGTGTTATCGAAGAAGAAGAAGAGGAGCCTGAGTGGGGCAATGATCCGCAACCAGGTGTCCCACCGGTTAGGATTAGAACGCCTGACGTGACAGAACCCACCGACCTAACCACAATTCAAATTAACGAAAAACTCTCCGAGTCGCAACGCACAGACCTACATTGTCTGATCCATGAGTTTAAAGATATTATCAGTAATATACCGGGTAAAACTAATTTAGTTGAACACAACATTGAGTTGAGTGACTTTAAACCCATTCGGATGAAACCCTATTCTATTCCCTACGCACGCAGAGAAATAATGAGAGCAGAAATCGAAGAAATGGAAAGATTAGGGATTATAGAAAAGTCAAACTCAGACTATAGCGCCCCGGTAGTTTTGGTCAAAAAGAAAGATGGGTCTGCCCGATTTTGTGTTGACTACCGCAGGCTGAACGCCGTCACCATATATGACGCTGAGCCTATCCCAGACCAAGAGGAGCTATTTGCCAAGTTGAATAGTGCCAAATATTTCACTAAACTAGACCTGACCAAAGGCTACTGGCAAATACCCCTCAACGATAAAAGCAAGAAGCTTACAGCATTCTCTACACCTTGGGGACTTTACCATTTTAATTACCTCCCTTTTGGTCTGTCTACCGCTCCCGCAAGCTTCGCCAGATTAATGCGTTTAGTTCTGAAGGGCTTAGAGAACGTGGTCTCATTCTTTGACGACATATGCATTTATAGTGACAGCTGGGGGGAACACGTTAAAAGCTTAGAGGCAGTATTTAGGAGATTAAGGGAAGCGGGATTAACTGTAAAACCGTCAAAAATTGAACTAGGATTTGAACAGGTAAGTTTCCTCGGTCATATAGTGGGAAGTGGAGTAATGGCACCTCAGAGAAGTAAAATAGATAAAATTCTAAACATTGCCATCCCAAGAACTAAGAGACAAGTGAGGCAACTTGTAGGCCTTATTAGCTATTACTCCAAATTTATCCCCAACTTCAGCAATCTTAAGGCGGTGCTGACTGACCTTTTGGCGGGGGATAAACCAGAGAGAGTTGCTTGGACAGATGAGTGCAACAGGGCTCTTGGGCTGATACAGGAGCACTTAAACGCAGAGCCTGTCCTTGTCCTGCCCGATATTACCCAACCGTTCATACTCAGGACGGACGCCTCAGCACGCGGCATAGGCGCAGTGCTACTGCAGGCTAAAGAGGGGGTGCTGCGGCCCGTCAAATATGTCAGCAGGAAGTTGCTACCGCGAGAGACGAGGTACTCAACAATTGAGAGGGAATGTTTGGCCATTATCTGGGCAGTGGGGAAGTTAGCACTGTACTTAAACAACGTACACTTTACACTCCAAACGGACCAACGAGCTTTGAAGTATTTAAATAACTGTAGTTACAGCAACTCTAGATTAACTCGATGGTCTCTATTGTTACAAGAATTTAAGTTTACTATAGAGCATATACCAGGAAAAGATAATATAGTAGCGGACATGCTATCAAGGGAATAGAGAGAATGAGTACTAGGGGGTGGATTTTGAAAGCGTGAGTGCTAGACTCGCTATGTGTTATCACTAATAGCAATAGAAACAAAAAGTATGCAAGCACACGTGAAATTTTATAATTGTTATACTTGGCTCCAAAGAAGTTTAATTTTGCGTAAATGAGTGGGTGCATGAGCTATTGAACGTTGGTTGCAACATATATATATATATATATAGACTGTATATTTCTTTTTTTTTTTTTTTTTTTAAATTTTTTTCCCATCAAATGTGCTAACTGCTGTTGTAGATTCTGTTTTAAGCTTTGATTGTTTTGTTTTTCTTAAATATTTTTTTTTATATATATGCATTATATATTATTATGTATATTGTAATGTATGTATACACTGTTTAGTTGTATGTATATATCATCTGCTGGGCGAAGGCAAAATTAAAATAGTAGTTTAGTAACTAGTTTTAGGCAAATAGTGCAAAGCCCAATTTGCTCTGGGTATGGGGGAGTATGTTAGGTCAGAATCCCACAAACACCTATTCATTAGATAATTACAGGGTACACAGTAGGGATGGACAGTAGGTGACGCGTTCAAAGGAGACTGACCCCTCTGACAGGACAATAGTAGTCTTTATACTGACCAGTAGCCAGGGTTGTTAGCGCCAGGGGGGATAATTTGTTAGGTCACATGTTCTGAGCTCATTGTCCCGTGGGAACAGCTAGGGGGTTAAGACAGGGGTATAAATACAGGCAGGTTAGTTAGTCTCTCTCTCTCTCTCGCACAAGCGCTCCCAACGTTAGCGGTTAGGGGAAGCCTCGCTCAGCAGAACAGGCATTCAGCACATTAATAAACAGCATAAACTAAGAAGGTCTCCTGTTCCGTTGATTACTTCACTGTAGCTGACTCGGGTAGAATAATTAAATACCCCTAGACAACGACGGCCTTATTGGCTAGTGCCCGAGCCAGTGTCAGCAACGTATTCGGCCGGCGACTAAGCAACCGGACGGCAACATCGTAGTCCTGGTCTGCAACAGGCTGGCTACTGTAAGCCTTAGATCCTTTAACCAATTGGCTGGCTACTGTAAGCCTTAGATCATTTAACCAATGGGCTGGCTACTGTAAGCCTTAGATCCTTTAACCAATGCGCTGGCTACTTTAGGCTTGTGATGGCCCATCTGTTTGAAATAACTGACTGATCTCTCCCTACAGGGTAATTGGACCATCAAACGGTTCAAGATGGACAGAGGGGGAGTAACTCAAGTTTTATCTCGCCTGAGTTACATCTCTGCCCTTGGCATGATGACAAGGATCAACAGTCAGGTGATTTAAGGCCTGCTAGATAGGTTTTTTATTATCTTGTAATTTGTCAAGGGATGTGTTTTATAGTTTGACCTTTTGACCTGCATTGTTACATTTCTTGACTTTGTCCACTTGCCAGTTTGAGAAGACCAGGAAGGTCAGTGGTCCGAGGTCCCTCCAGCCCTCCCAGTGGGGCCTCCTGTGTCCATCAGATACACCTGAAGGCGAGGTATGTTAAATGGTGTGGGAGTTGTTTCTAAAGGCTTGTGGTCTTGTAAAAAACAATATCAGTACTAAAATATCTAACCTAATCACAACTGTGTGTTTGTTTCTAAAGGCTTGTGGTCTTGTAAAAAACAATCTCAGTACTAAAATATCTAACCTAATCACAACTGTGTGCTTGTTTCTAAAGGCTTGTGGTCTTGTCAAAAACAATATCAGTACTAAAATATCTAACCTAATCACAACTGTGTGCTTGTTTCTAAAGGCTTGTGGTCTTGTAAAAAACAATATCAGTACTAAAATATCTAACCTAATCACAACTGTGTGCTTGTTTCTAAAGGCTTGTGTTCTTGTAAAAAACAATATCAGTACTAAAATATCTAACCTAATCACAACTGTGTGTTTGTTTCTAAAGGCTTGTGGTCTTGTAAAAAACAATATCAGTACTAAAATATCTGACCTAATCACAACTGTGTGCTTGTTTCTAAAGGCTTGTGGTCTTGTAAAAAACAATCTCAGTACTAAAATATCTGACCTAATCACAACTGTGTGCTTGTTTCTAAAGGCTTGTGGTCTTGTAAAAAACAATCTCAGTACTAAAATATCTGACCTAATCACAACTGTGTGCTTGTTTCTAAAGGCTTGTGGTCTTGTAAAAAACAATATCAGTACTAAAATATCTAACCTAATCACAACTGTGTGTTTGTTTCTAAAGGCTTGTGGTCTTGTAAAAAACAATCTCAGTACTAAAATATCTGACCTAATCACAACTGTGTGCTTGTTTCTAAAGGCTTGTGGTCTTGTAAAAAACAATATCAGTACTAAAATATCTGACCTAATCACAACTGTGTGCTTGTTTCTAAAGGCTTGTGGTCTTGTAAAAAACAATATCAGTACTAAAATATCTGACCTAATCACAACTGTGTGCTTGTTTCTAAAGGCTTGTGGTCTTGTAAAAAACAATCTCAGTACTAAAATATCTGACCTAATCACAACTGTGTGCTTGTTTCTAAAGGCTTGTGGTCTTGTAAAAAACAATATCAGTACTTAAAATATCTAACCTAATCACAACTGTGGCTTGTTTCTAAAGGCTTGTGGTCTTGTAAAAAACAATATCAGTACTAAAATATCTAACCTAATCACAACTGTGTGTTTGTTTCTAAAGGCTTGTGGTCTTGTAAAAAACAATATCAGTACTAAAATATCTAACCTAATCACAACTGTGGCTTGTTTCTAAAGGCTTGTGGTCTTGTAAAAAACAATATCAGTACTAAAATATCTAACCTAATCACAACTGTGTGTTTGTTTCTAAAGGCTTGTGGTCTTGTAAAAAACAATATCAGTACTAAAATATCTAACCTAATCACAACTGTGGCTTGTTTCTAAAGGCTTGTGGTCTTGTAAAAAACAATATCAGTACTAAAATATCTAACCTAATCACAACTGTGGCTTGTTTCTAAAGGCTTGTGGTCTTGTCAAAAACAATATCAGTACTAAAATATCTAACCTAATCACAACTGTGTGCTTGTTTCTAAAGGCTTGTGGTCTTGTCAAAAAACAATATCAGTACTAAAATATCTAACCTAATCACAACTGTGTGCTTGTTTCTAAAGGCTTGTGGTCTTGTAAAAAACAATCTCAGTACTAAAATATCTGACCTAATCACAACTGTGTGCTTGTTTCTAAAGGCTTGTGGTCTTGTAAAAAACAATCTCAGTACTAAAATATCTAACCTAATCACAACTGTGTGCTTGTTTCTAAAGGCTTGTGGTCTTGTAAAAAACAATATCAGTACTAAAATATCTAACCTAATCACAACTGTGTGTTTGTTTCTAAAGGCTTGTGGTCTTGTAAAAAACAATATCAGTACTAAAATATCTAACCTAATCACAACTGTGTGTTTGTTTCTAAAGGCTTGTGGTCTTGTAAAAAACAATATCAGTACTAAAATATCTAACCTAATCACAACTGTGTGTTTGTTTCTAAAGGCTTGTGGTCTTGTAAAAAACAATATCAGTACTAAAATATCTAACCTAATCACAACTGTGTGCTTGTTTCTAAAGGCTTGTGGTCTTGTAAAAAACAATATCAGTACTAAAATATCTAACCTAATCACAACTGTGTGCTTGTTTCTAAAGGCTTGTGGTCTTGTAAAAAACAATATCAGTACTAAAATATCTAACCTAATCACAACTGTGTGCTTGTTTCTAAAGGCTTGTGGTCTTGTAAAAAACAATATCAGTACTAAAATATCTAACCTAATCACAACTGTGTGCTTGTTTCTAAAGGCTTGTGGTCTTGTAAAAAACAATATCAGTACTAAAATATCTAACCTAATCACAACTGTGTGCTTGTTTCTAAAGGCTTGTGGTCTTGTAAAAAACAATATCAGTACTAAAATATCTAACCTAATCACAACTGTGTGCTTGTTTCTAAAGGCTTGTGTTCTTGTAAAAAACAATATCAGTACTAAAATATCTAACCTAATCACAACTGTGTGTTTGTTTCTAAAGGCTTGTGGTCTTGTCAAAAATCTGGCCTTGATGACACACATAACTGTGGATGTGGATGAAGGACCAATTGCCAGGATAGCTGTCAGCCTTGGGGTGGAGGATATAGAAAACCTCAGTCGGGATGAAGTCAGCAGTCCAGATTTTTATACAGTTTTCCTCAATGGTATGTTTTGTCCAGATTTTTATAAAGTTTTCCTCAATGGTATGTTTTGTCCAGATTTTTATACAGTTTTCCTCAATGGTATGTTTTGTCCAGATTTTTATAGTTTTCCCCAATGGTACGTTTTGTCCAAGTTTTTATAGTTTTCCTCAATGGTATGTTTTGTCCAGATTTTTATACAGTTTTCCTCAATGGTATGTTTTGTCCAGATTTTTATACAGTTTTCCTCAATGGTAGGTTTTGTCCAAGTTTTTATACAGTTTTCCTCAATGGTATGTTTTGTCCAGATTTTTATAGTTTTCCCCAATGGTATGTTTTGTCCAGATTTTTATACAGTTTTCCTCAATGGTAGGTTTTGTCCAAATTTTTATACAGTTTTCCTCAATGGTATGTTTTGTCCAGATTTTTATAGTTTTCCCCAATGGTACGTTTTGTCCAAGTTTTTATAGTTTTCCTCAATGGTATATTTTGTCCAGATTTTTATACAGTTTTCCTCAATGGTATGTTTTGTCCAGATTTTTATACAGTTTTCCTCAATGGTAGGTTTTGTCCAAATTTTTATACAGTTTTCCCCAATGGTACGTTTTGTCCAGATTTTTATACAGTTTTCCTCAATGGTATGTTTTGTCCAGATTTTTATACAGTTTTCCTCAATGGTAGGTTTTGTCCAAATTTTTATACAGTTTTCCTCAATGGTATGTTTTGTCCAGATTTTTATAGTTTTCCCCAATGGTACGTTTTGTCCAAGTTTTTATAGTTTTCCTCAATGGTATGTTTTGTCCAGATTTTTATACAGTTTTCCTCAATGGTATGTTTTGTCCAGATTTTTATACAGTTTTCCTCAATGGTAGGTTTTGTCCAAATTTTTATACAGTTTTCCTCAATGGTATGTTTTGTCCAGATTTTTATAGTTTTCCTCAATGGTAGGTTTTGTCCAGATTTTTATACAGTTTTCCTCAATGGTATGTTTTGTCCAGATTTTTATACAGTTTTCCTCAATGGTACGTTTTGTCTAGATTTTTATACAGTTTTCCTCAATGGTATGTTTTGTCTAGATTTTTATACTGTTTTGCTCAATGGTATGTTTTGTCCACAGTTTTTGTCTTCCTTGTACTAGCCATCTTGTCTGTTTTCTCTGTCACCATATCAAGTCACTGACTCTCCTGTCACCATATCAAGTCACTGACTCCTGTCACCATATCAAGTCACTGACTCTCCTGTTACCATATCAAGTCACTGACTCCTGTCACCATATCAAGTCACTGACTCTCCTGCCACCATATCAAGTCACTGATTCCTGAAAGTCACTGACTTTCACCATCTAAAATCACTGACATTTAAAAAATGGTCTATTAATAAAGATTTTTTAACCTAGCCCATTCTAACCACCTGACCATTTGTACAGGTAACATTTTAGGAATGACCAGCCACTACCAAAGACTTGTTACTATATTTAGAAAGCTGAGGCGTGCGGGCTACATCAACGCCTTTGTCTCCATCTTCCCCAACCACTCACACAAGTGTGTTTACATTGCATCTGATGGGGGCAGAGTCTGTAGGTACGTAACTCTGGGTTTACATTGCATCTGATGGTGGCAGAGTCTGTAGGTACGTAACTCTGGGTTTACATTGCCTCTGATGGGGGCAGAGTCTGTAGGTACGTAAGTCTGGGTTTACATTGCCTCTGATGGGGGCAGAGTCTGTAGGTACGTAACTCTGGGTTTACATTGCATCTGATGGTGGCAGAGTCTGTAGGTACGTAACTCTGGGTTTACATTGCATCTGATGGTGGCAGAGTCTGTAGGTACGTAACTCTGGGTTTACATTGCATCTGATGGGGGCAGAGTCTGTAGGTACGTAACTCTGGGTTTACATTGCATCTGATGGTGGCAGAGTCTGTAGGTACGTAACTCTGGGTTTACATTGCATCTGATGGTGGCAGAGTCTGTAGGTACGTAACTCTGGGTTTACATTGCATCTGATGGGGGCAGAGTCTGTAGGTACGTAACTCTGGGTTTACATTGCCTCTGATGGTGGCAGAGTCTGTAGGTACGTAACTCTGGGTTTACATTGCCTCTGATGGGGGCAGAGTCTGTAGGTACGTAACTCTGGGTTTACATTGCATCTGATGGTGGCAGAGTCTGTAGGTACGTAACTCTGGGTTTACATTGCATCTGATGGTGGCAGAGTCTGTAGGTACGTAACTCTGGGTTTACATTGCATCTGATGGTGGCAGAGTCTGTAGGTACGTAACTCTGGGTTTACATTGCATCTGATGGTGGCAGAGTCTGTAGGTACGTAACTCTGGGTTTACATTGCATCTGATGGGGGCAGAGTCTGTAGGTACGTAACTCTGGGTTTACATTGCATCTGATGGTGGCAGAGTCTGTAGGTACGTAACTCTGGGTTTACATTGCATCTGATGGTGGCAGAGTCTGTAGGTACGTAACTCTGGGTTTACATTGCATCTGATGGGGGCAGAGTCTGTAGGTACGTAACTCTGGGTTTACATTGCCTCTGATGGGGGCAGAGTCTGTAGGTACGTAACTCTGGGTTTACATTGCCTCTGATGGGGGCAGAGTCTGTAGGTACGTAACTCTGGGTTTACATTGCATCTGATGGTGGCAGAGTCTGTAGGTACGTAACTCTGGGTTTACATTGCATCTGATGGGGGCAGAGTCTGTAGGTACGTAACTCTGGGTTTACATTGCATCTGATGGTGGCAGAGTCTGTAGGTACGTAACTCTGGGTTTACATTGCATCTGATGGGGGCAGAGTCTGTAGGTACGTAACTCTGGGTTTACATTGCATCTGATGGTGGCAGAGTCTGTAGGTACGTAACTCTGGGTTTACATTGCATCTGATGGGGGCAGAGTCTGTAGGTACGTAACTCTGGGTTTACATTGCATCTGATGGTGGCAGAGTCTGTAGGTACGTAACTCTGGGTTTACATTGCATCTGATGGGGGCAGAGTCTGTAGGTACGTAACTCTGGGTTTACATTGCATCTGATGGGGGCAGAGTCTGTAGGTACGTAACTCTGGGTTTACATTGCCTCTGATGGTGGCAGAGTCTGTAGGTACGTAACTCTGGGTTTACATTGCCTCTGATGGTGGCAGAGTCTGTAGGTACGTAACTCTGGGTTTACATTGCCTCTGATGGGGGCAGAGTCTGTAGGTACGTAACTCTGGGTTTACATTGCATCTGATGGTGGCAGAGTCTGTAGGTACGTAACTCTGGGTTTACATTGCATCTGATGGTGGCAGAGTCTGTAGGTACGTAACTCTGGGTTTACATTGCATCTGATGGTGGCAGAGTCTGTAGGTACGTAACTCTGGGTTTACATTGCATCTGATGGTGGCAGAGTCTGTAGGTACGTAACTCTGGGTTTACATTGCATCTGATGGTGGCAGAGTCTGTAGGTACGTAACTCTGGGTTTACATTGCATCTGATGGGGGCAGAGTCTGTAGGTACGTAACTCTGGGTTTACATTGCATCTGATGGTGGCAGAGTCTGTAGGTACGTAACTCTGGGTTTACATTGCATCTGATGGGGGCAGAGTCTGTAGGTACGTAACTCTGGGTTTACATTGCATCTGATGGTGGCAGAGTCTGTAGGTACGTAACTCTGGGTTTACATTGCCTCTGATGGGGGCAGAGTCTGTAGGTACGTAACTCTGGGTTTACATTGCCTCTGATGGGGGCAGAGTCTGTAGGTACGTAACTCTGGGTTTACATTGCCTCTGATGGGGGCAGAGTCTGTAGGTACGTAACTCTGGGTTTACATTGCATCTGATGGTGGCAGAGTCTGTAGGTACGTAACTCTGGGTTTACATTGCCTCTGATGGGGGCAGAGTCTGTAGGTACGTAACTCTGGGTTTACATTGCATCTGATGGTGGCAGAGTCTGTAGGTACGTAACTCTGGGTTTACATTGCCTCTGATGGGGGCAGAGTCTGTAAGTACGTAACTCTGGGTTTACATTGCCTCTGATGGGGGCAGAGTCTGTAGGTATGTAACTCTGGGTTTACATTTTAAAATTGCTTTTTTAAAGCTGTGGTAAAAAGTTAAAATATTATCGGGGGGGGGGGGAGGGGGAGTTATATATAAAATGATCTTTTTAATGCTGTGTGAAGTTATAAATAGGATGATGTTATAACTACTGTGTGTATTATTTAAGATAGTTGTGACGGAAAAGAAATTTTTTTTTTAAATTGATGTTTGATGGACCTTTACAAAATAATTTGATGTTTAATTCAAATGTATATGCCCAGACCCTACATAATTGTCAGCAAGAAGAGGCCACTGGTTACAACAAAACACATTGAAGATCTGTGTCGAGAGTTCAGGTCAGTTCAGTCTTAGCTGGCAAAGGGTTAAGTTTGTTTTAGATTATTCTTTGGTGTAAAATTTGGCTGCTGTCAAAGGGTTAAGTTACACTAGTCTAAGCTGTCTCAACTCTTAAACTTGCTTTAGTTGAAGCTAAGCATGAAGTATGTCTAATGCTGCAACAATTGAAGCAGACAAAACTAAACTTTAAAAAACTGTTTCAGGTGTTTTGAGGACTTCCTTCATGAGGGTCTGGTGGAGTACCTGGATGTCAATGAAGAAAATGATTGTATGATAGCTCTATATGAGTCTCTTATCACTGAGTAAGTTATAGATTGTATGATAGCTCTATACGAGTCTCTTATCACAGAGTAAGTTGTAGATTGTATGATAGCTCTATACGAGTCTCTTATCACAGAGTAAGTTGTAGGTTGTATGATAGCTCTATACGAGTCTCTGATCACTGAGTAAGTTGTAGATTGTATGATAGCTCTATACGAGTCTCTTATCACAGAGTAAGTTGTAGGTTGTATGATAGCTCTATACGAGTCTCTGATCACTGAGTAAGTTGTAGATTGTATAAAACAAATATTGTTTCCCCAGAGACACAACCCACCTGGAGATTGAACCCTTCACTATTCTGGGGGTGTGTGCCGGCCTCATCCCCTACCCCCACCACAACCAGTCTCCACGAAACACCTACCAGTGTGCTATGGGCAAACAAGCGATGGGTGAGTTGCTCACTTCTTGTCTGTGCTCATTTCAGGTCTCTGGCTCAGTTTTTTTATTCTGGTCTGGTCAGTTGGTCATTTCTAGTCAAAAATATGTTTAAAAACTATTTTTTTAAAAACTTAAGTGATATGAAAGTGAAAATAACTCTTCTTATTGAAAAGTTTTGAAATGCCCTAGAGCATTTTTATATACATTTATAACTGGAGGAAAGATGGATTTTGAATGGACTTTATGAGAGTTACTGATGAAATAGAGTTAATCCCCTTGCTTGGTAAGGAATTTAATTTCCTGGGTAGTTCTGTACTGAAAGGGTTGAAAACTATTTTGTATATGAGTTTCTCAAAATCCCTGCACAGTTTATTGAACTGTGCATCTATTTGAACTGGCTGATGTATTATGATGTGCTTGTCCTTGACCCAGTTATTTAAATGTTGTAGGGACCATAGGCTACAACCAGCGCAACAGGATTGACACCTTGCTCTATCTGCTGGCCTACCCACAAGCTCCACTTGTCAAGTCTAAGGTAACCTCATGTTTAACATTAGTGACCAAATCCAAGTTAACTTGCCATGTTGTCTGATGTCAAGTTAACTTGCCATGTTGTCTGATGTCAAGTTAACTTGCCATGTTGTCTGATGTCAAGTTGACTTGCCATGTTGTCTGATGTCAAGTTAACTTGCCATGTTGTCTGATGTCAAGTTAACTTGCCATGTTGTCTGATGTCAAGTTGACTTGCCATGTTGTCTGACGTCAAGTTGACTTGTTGTTTTCTCTGATGTCAAGTTGACTTGCCATGTTGTCTGATGTCAAGTTAACTTGCCATGTTGTCTGATGTCAAGTTAACTTGCCATGTTGTCTGATGTCAAGTTAACTTGCCATGTTGTCTGATGTCAAGTTGACTTGCCATGTTGTCTGATGTCAAGTTAACTTGCCATGTTGTCTGATGTCAAGTTGACGTGCCATGTTGTCTGATGTCAAGTTAACTTGCCATGTTGTCTGATGTCAAGTTGACTTGCCATGTTGTCTGATGTCAAGTTGACTTGTTGTTTTCTCTGATGTCAAGTTGACTTGCCATGTTGTCTGATGTCAAGTTAACTTGCCATGTTGTCTGATGTCAAGTTAACTTGCCATGTTGTCTGATGTCAAGTTGACTTGCCATGTTGTCTGATGTCAAGTTAACTTGCCATGTTGTCTGATGTCAAGTTGATGTGCCATGTTGTCTGATGTCAAGTTAACTTGCCATGTTGTCTGATGTCAAGTTGACTTGCCATGTTGTCTGATGTCAAGTTGACTTGTTGTTTTCTCTGATGTCAAGTTGACTTGCCATGTTGTCTGATGTCAAGTTAACTTGCCATGTTGTCTGATGTCAAGTTGACTTGCCATGTTGTCTGACGTCAAGTTGACTTGTTGTTTTCTCTGATGTCAAGTTGACTTGCCATGTTGTCTGATGTCAAGTTAACTTGCCATGTTGTCTGATGTCAAGTTAACTTGCCATGTTGTCTGATGTCAAGTTGACTTGCCATGTTGTCTGACGTCAAGTTGACTTGTTGTTTTCTCTGATGTCAAGTTGACTTGCCATGTTGTCTGATGTCAAGTTAACTTGCCATGTTGTCTGATGTCAAGTTAACTTGCCATGTTGTCTGATGTCAAGTTGACTTGCCATGTTGTCTGATGTCAAGTTAACTTGCCATGTTGTCTGATGTCAAGTTGACGTGCCATGTTGTCTGATGTCAAGTTAACTTGCCATGTTGTCTGATGTCAAGTTGACTTGCCATGTTGTCTGATGTCAAGTTAACCTGCCATGTTGTCTGATGTCAAGTTGACGTGCCATGTTGTCTGATGTCAAGTTAACTTGCCATGTTGTCTGATGTCAAGTTGACTTGCCATGTTGTCTGATGTCAAGTTGACTTGTTGTTTTCTCTGATGTCAAGTTGACTTGCCATGTTGTCTGATGTCAAGTTAACTTGCCATGTTGTCTGATGTCAAGTTAACTTGCCATGTTGTCTGATGTCAAGTTAACTTGCCATGTTGTCTGATGTCAAGTTGATGTGCCATGTTGTCTGATGTCAAGTTAACTTGCCATGTTGTCTGATGTCAAGTTGACTTGCCATGTTGTCTGATGTCAAGTTAACTTGCCATGTTGTCTGATGTCAAGTTGACTTGCCATGTTGTCTGATGTCAAGTTGACTTGTTGTTTTCTCTGATGTCAAGTTGACTTGCCATGTTGTCTGATGTCAAGTTAACTTGCCATGTTGTCTGATGTCAAGTTAACTTGCCATGTTGTCTGATGTCAAGTTGACTTGCCATGTTGTCTGATGTCAAGTTAACTTGCCATGTTGTCTGATGTCAAGTTGATGTGCCATGTTGTCTGATGTCAAGTTAACTTGCCATGTTGTCTGATGTCAAGTTGACTTGCCATGTTGTCTGATGTCAAGTTGACTTGTTGTTTTCTCTGATGTCAAGTTGACTTGCCATGTTGTCTGATGTCAAGTTAACTTGCCATGTTGTCTGATGTCAAGTTGACTTGCCATGTTGTCTGACGTCAAGTTGACTTGTTGTTTTCTCTGATGTCAAGTTGACTTGCCATGTTGTCTGATGTCAAGTTAACTTGCCATGTTGTCTGATGTCAAGTTAACTTGCCATGTTGTCTGATGTCAAGTTAACTTGCCATGTTGTCTGATGTCAAGTTGACTTGCCATGTTGTCTGATGTCAAGTTAACTTGCCATGTTGTCTGATGTCAAGTTGACGTGCCATGTTGTCTGATGTCAAGTTAACTTGCCATGTTGTCTGATGTCAAGTTGACTTGCCATGTTGTCTGATGTCAAGTTGACTTGTTGTTTTCTCTGATGTCAAGTTGACTTGCCATGTTGTCTGATGTCAAGTTAACTTGCCATGTTGTCTGATGTCAAGTTAACTTGCCATGTTGTCTGATGTCAAGTTGACTTGCCATGTTGTCTGATGTCAAGTTAACTTGCCATGTTGTCTGATGTCAAGTTGATGTGCCATGTTGTCTGATGTCAAGTTAACTTGCCATGTTGTCTGATGTCAAGTTGACTTGCCATGTTGTCTGATGTCAAGTTTACTTGTTGTTTTCTCTGATGTCAAGTTGACTTGCCATGTTGTCTGATGTCAAGTTAACTTGCCATGTTGTCTGATGTCAAGTTAACTTGCCATGTTGTCTGATGTCAAGTTGACTTGCCATGTTGTCTGATGTCAAGTTAACTTGCCATGTTGTCTGATGTCAAGTTGATGTGCTATGTTGTCTGATGTCAAGTTAACTTGCCATGTTGTCTGATGTCAAGTTGACGTGCCATGTTGTCTGATGTCAAGTTGACTTGTTGTTTTCTCTGTTGTCAGACCATTGAGCTGATCCACTTTGACAAGCTGCCAGCAGGACAGAATGCCACAGTGGCCGTCATGAGCTACAGCGGCTACGACATCGAGGACGCCCTGGTGCTCAACAGAGCTTCACTAGACAGAGGTTTGTAGTGCTATACAGAGCTTCACTAGACAGAGGTTTGTAGTGCTATACAGAGCTTCACTAGACAGAGGTTTGTAGTGCTATACAGAGCTTCACTAGACAGAGGTTTGTAGTGCTATACAGAGGTTTGTAGTGCTATACAGAGGTTTGTAGTGCTATACAGAGGTTTGTAGTGCTATACAGAGGTTTGCTAGACAGAGGTTTAAAGTGCTCAACAGAGATTCACTAGACAGAGGTTTGTAGTGCTATACAGAGGTTTGTAGTGCTATACAGAGCTTCACTAGACAGAGGTTTGTTACAATCACATCCTCATACATTAGTTAGTTCTTAGTTCTAGTGTTAAACCTAAATGGTGGGATTAGTGTTAAACCTGAATGCTGGATGAAGTCTAACAGCCTTGTGATTGTTGCCCAGGATTTGGTCGCTGTCTGGTGTACAAGAAACAGACGTGCGCTGTAAAACGCTACGCCAACCAAACGTTTGACCGCATCATGGGACCTAAAGTGGACAGGGAAACTTTCAAACCCATCTGGAAACATCTGCCCTTAGACCACGATGGCATCGCAGCTCCAGGTTAGTATTTTTTTTTTTCAGTTAACTTTGATCTAATGAATTAAATATTGCAACTGTAGTGCAGGTAAGAAAAAGTGCTACAACAAACTTTGATCTAATGAATTAAATATTGCAGCTGTAGTGCAGGTAAGAAAAAGTACTACATCAAACTTTACAAAAACCTCCCCAGGAATGTGCATAGAGAACAGGCAGGTGATGGTCAACAAGGAGATGCCAACGGTGACTGCACCAAGTCTACAGCCACAGATGGGGCAGGTCAAACACACAGAGTACAAGGAAACTCCAATCACGTCAGTACAAGGGCATTTACTCTTGGCTTGTCTTGTCTTACTGGCAAAATTATCTTGTGCTAGTGGTACATTCTTGTGGTAGTGGCATATTCTAGTCATGTGTCCATGTGACTACATATTATGTTGTTACTCAATTCTACAATTGAAATGTTACTACATACTGAATGTTACACAATCCTACAATTGAAACCTAGGCTATCAATGTGGATGTTTACCTGTTTCAGCTACAAAGGATCTGAGCCATCCTTCATTGAGCGTGTGCTGATCACCTCCAACCAAGAGGAATCATTTCTTGTTAAACTCTTGCTGAGACAGACCAGGAGGCCTGAGGTGGGGGACAAGTTCAGCAGTCGCCACGGACAGAAAGGGTAGGCCAGGTTTTCTCACAGAGAAAATAGACTGTTGCCTCTTACAATACAACTAGTTAAACCAATGTTTGCCCTCAAGTTAAACCAATGTTTGTCCTCAAGTTAAACCAATGTTTGTCCTCTAGTTAAACTGTTTGTCCTCAAGATAAACCAATGTTTGTCCTCATGTTAAACCAATGTTTGTCCTCTTGCAGTGTGTGTGGGCTGATTGTCCCTCAGGAGGACATGCCATTCACAGACCTGGTAAGTTTTTCACAGCTCAACATTGTAAACAATTTGTTTTTCTCACCTCAACATTGTAAACAATTTGTTTTTCTCACCTCAACATTGTAAACAATTTGTTTTTCTCACCTCAACATTGTAAACAATTTGTTTTTCTCACCTCAACAATTTGTTTTTCTCACCTCAACATTGTAAACAATTTGTTTTTCTCACCTCAACATTGTAACAGGGTTCCCGCGGCCTCCTGAAATTCCAGGATGTCCTGGAATTCTCCTGGAATTTCAAAAAACCAGAAAAGTCCTGGAATTCTCCTGGAATTTTAACATTTCTCCTGGAATTTTAACATTTCTCCTGGAATTTAACTCGCATCGATAATGTTAGCGAATATTTTTTTCGCGCGTTAGATTTCTAGGTAATCAGATCTGACCGCCCGAGTAAAAATGTTCTGCCTTTTCAATTCTTCGCGTTACAAGTCACACATTTTAAAATATAGACCTAAAGCTGTCTTTAACTTGTGGGTTTGGTTTAATTTTTTTCTCACGTCTTTCTATGTGTGCGGCTCTGTTTAATAGGCGTGACTTTTTTTTTAATGGGAAATTTCGAGTAGGCCTAGGCCAAAATCTAGTTTTTGCGCAGCTAATTTGAATCTACAGTCCGATAGGCTCTAGATCTACTTTCTATTTTTACATGCGAGTTGTAATACTACCACCCTCCCATCCCGCATCTCAGTTTCTTTCCCACGACAGGGTGGGGGAGGGAGGACCGCTGGTTGGGTACATGAAGTGAACTCTGTGCGACCCGCTAGTGATGTCATCAGCAGTATGCTACAGACCAGCTGTAAGCTTAGATGAACTCAAACTGACCCCGCGCGACGGTGTCTAGCTAGAAGAAAAAAATACGCTACCGGCAAAAAAAAACAACAACTATCTGAAATTCTATTTTTGGCTGAAATATTTTAAATTTTTCAAGAATTAGGGGTCGTCCATAAATGACGTCACATTCGTAGGGGGAGGGGGGTCCGTAATTTTGTGACGGTGTGTGATGCGGGGGGGGGGGGGGTTCAGATGGTGGGACGTCACACTTTTGCATCATAAAAGCAATGTTAGAAAACGAATTTTAGCCGTTATTTCGCGTTTTAGAAAACTGTTTTAATAAATTGTAATAGGAATTGATCAAAATACTCTATGTTGACGGCGTTCTGACAAGATTTTAGAAAATATCGATGTTTTAAGAAAAAATCAACATCAATTTTGAGAGGGGATGTAGGCTGAGGTGTGACGTCATTTTAGGGGTGGGGGGTCTGGCTTTTTGTGACGAAGTGGGCAGGAGGGGGGGGGGGGGTAAAATCGTCAAAAAAGCGCGAAGTTTCCAAAATACAGTTTATTTTTAGTAGGACAAATCTAAGCTACTCAGGTTGATCTACTTGTTCATTAAATGATAAAAAGTTAAAATTACAGTTAGGCTATTTACTGTTGAAGACTCCCATTTAAATCACAATGCCATGTTCATTTTGACAAGATATGGTTTCAGCTGTCCTGTTTGTTTATAATTGACATTGTTAGTACGGATGAGGGGTTAAGTCACTTGACACTGGGATATAGCTATGATTGCTAGGCTAAATATGTTTCTCAGTAGCAAACATCTAAATTAGTTTACAATTATTTTACTAAGTGAATTTACTCACACTATTTCAGTAATCATTGAATTGAAAACAAAAGTGCAAACATGTAATTGATTAACATTTTAAATTAGTTTATTGCTGAAATTGTTTTCTAATATTTTTAAAGTTGTGAAATTTTACTTTTTTTTGGGGGGGTGGGTGGGTGGGATAATAAAGAAGAACTGTTCAGTGTTATTTAGTTGTTTAAGAAGTGTCACATTTATATATTTAACTACTCATTGGCATAAGTGGGGGGGGGGGGGGCTGATGAAAAGGGATAACATTTTTGTTTACAAAAAGCTCATTTTATGCTGAAGTATTGAATTATACAGGGTCAAAGTTAAGAAAAGAAACTGCTACAAGACTACACAATGATTCAACTTTTCTCTACCTCAATTGTGTAGTACAAAGATAAAAATTGTAACAGGATAGTGACTGGTAAAAAGTGCCACCAAATTTTCCAAAGGGGGGAGGAGAGAAAGGAGAGATAGCAATTTTATGAATAACAATTTATAAATGGGAGGGGTGGGGTGCAAAATTGAATCTACTTTAACTAAACTAAATGGTTTAGAAACAGTTACTTTTAAAAATTACAAATGCTATGCTTCATAGCATTTTATAAAGACCACTTCCTAATTAAGGAATGTCAAACTCCCTTCCATTCAGCGCGGGGTTGAGTCGTTGCTTTTTAATAGGTTAAATTATGTCCTGGAATTTTGGTTTTTCTCCTGGAAAACTCCTGGAATTCTCCTGGAATTTCAAGTTCACTTTGGTGTAGGAACCCTGTTGTAAACAATTTGTTTTTCTCACCTCAACATTGCAAACAATTTGTTTTTCTCACCTCAACATTGCAAACAATTTGTTTTTCTCACCTCAACATTGTAAACAATTTGTTTTTCTCACCTCAACATTGTAAACAATTTGTTTTTCTCACCTCAACATTGTAAACAATTTGTTTTTCTCACCTCAACATTGTAAACAATTTGTTTTTCTCACCTCAACATTGTAAACAATTTGTTTTTCTCACCTCAACATTGTAAACAATTTGTTTTTCTCACCTCAACATTGTAAACAATTTGTTTTTCTCACCTCAACATTGTAAACAATTTGTTTTTCTCACCTCAACATTGTAAACAATTTGTTTTTCTCACCTCAACATTGTAAACAATTTGTTTTTCTCACCTCAACATTGTAAACAATTTGTTTTTCTCACCTCAACATTGTAAACAATTTGTTTTTCTCACCTCAATGTTGTAAACAATTTGTTTTTCTCACCTCAACATTGTAAACAATTTGTTTTTCTCACCTCAACATTGTAAACAATTTGTTTTTCTCACCTCAACAATTTGTTTTTCTCACCTCAACATTGTAAACAATTTGTTTTTCTCACCTCAACATTGTAAACAATTTGTTTGTTAAGACAATTCTTCTCTGTTTATATAACTAAACTACTTAAAAAGCTCTAGAGCTGACACCAACAGAGGTTAACTAATGTCTTTATTTTTCAGGGCATTTGTCCAGATATTGTAAGTACCTTAATTTGATTATACATTTGTGCAGTTATTTCCCTTTGATTGTAGAAGTTACTTGCCGCAAAGTTATGTCCCCTAGTATCCCAATCATGGCCTACTGGTAAAAATTTATTGCTAACATTGTTCTCATGAATGTCTGTCAAACAAAATCTGAGGCAAATGTCTGTACTCAGCAACAATTCTGTACCCAGATCATGAATCCTCACGGCTACCCATCCCGTATGACTGTGGGTAAATTGATGGAGCTACTGGGTAGCAAGGCTGGAGTCTTGGAGGGCAAGTTTCATTATGGCACTGGTATGGCACTCTATGCTTGCACTATATATTGCCTACAAACATAACTTTTTTTTTCATATTAACTTTTTTTTATAAATTTAAGATGATCTATGGATTAAGAGTAGCAGTAGCTACAAATTGTCCCATGGATTAAGACTAGTGACAGCTAAGAAATTGTCGAGCAAATTATTTGTATGATGTATCTCTGTTGCCAGCGTTTGGTGGCTGTAAGGTGGCTGACCTGTGTGAGACTTTGATTGACCACGGCTTCAACTACCTGGGCAAGGACTTTGTCACCTCAGGTGTCACAGGGTAAACTTTGATTTCTGTTAGAACAGTCAACCAACAATTCACTGAAATAACTGAAGCAAATCATCCACATGTATAGGATTTTTACCCTACGCACAAATTTACTTCACGTGTATCTACTTTGGACCAATTTATTCTTATATTCCACCATTAGAGAACCTCTAGCTGCGTACATCTACTTTGGACCAATTTATTCTTATATTCCACCCTTAGAGAACCTCTAGCTGCGTACATCTACTTTGGACCAATTTATTCTTATATTCCACCCTTAGAGAACCTCTAGCTGTGTATATCTACTTTGGACCAATTTATTCTTATATTCCACCCTTAGAGAACCTCTAGCTGTGTATATCTACTTTGGACCAATTTATTCTTATATTCCACCCTTAGAGAGCCTCTAGCTGCGTACATCTACTTTGGACCAATTTATTCTTATATTCCACCCTTAGACCTCTAGCTGCGTACATCTACTTTGGACCAATTTATTCTTATATTCCACCCTTAGAGAACCTCTAGATGCGTACATCTACTTTGGACCAATTTATTCTTATATTCCACCCTTAGAGAACCTCTAGCTGCGTACATCTACTTTGGACCAATTTATTCTTATATTCCACCCTTAGAGAACCTCTAGCTGCGTACATCTACTTTGGACCAATTTATTCTTATATTCCACCCTTAGAGAACCTCTAGCTGTGTATATCTACTTTGGACCAATTTATTCTTATATTCCACCCTTAGAGAACCTCTAGCTGTGCATATCTACTTTGGACCAATTTATTCTTATATTCCACCCTTAGAGAGCCTCTAGCTGCGTACATCTACTTTGGACCAATTTATTCTTATAATCCACCCTTAGACCTCTAGCTGCGTACATCTACTTTGGACCAATTTATTCTTATATTCCACCCTTAGAGAACCTCTAGATGCGTACATCTACTTTGGACCAATTTATTCTTATATTCCACCCTTAGAGAACCTCTAGCTGCGTACATCTACTTTGGACCAATTTATTCTTATATTCCACCCTTAGAGAACCTCTAGCTGCGTACATCTACTTTGGACCAATTTATTCTTATATTCCACCCTTAGAGAGCCTCTAGCTGCGTATATCTACTTTGGACCAATTTATTCTTATATTCCACCCTTAGAGAGCCTCTAGCTGCGTACATCTACTTTGGACCAATTTATTCTTATATTCCACCCTTAGAGAACCTCTAGCTGCGTATATCTACTTTGGACCAATTTATTCTTATATTCCACCCTTAGAGAACCTCTAGCTGCGTATATCTACTTCGGACCAATTTATTCTTATATTCCACCCTTAGAGAACCTCTAGCTGCGTATATCTACTTTGGACCAATTTATTCTTATATTCCACCCTTAGAGAACCTCTAGCTGCGTACATCTACTTTGGACCAATTTATTCTTATATTCCACCCTTAGAGAACCTCTAGCTACATACATCTACTTTGTACCAATTTAATCTTATATTCCACCCTTAGAGAACCTCTAGCTGCGTACATCTACTTTGGACCAATTTAATCTTATATTCCACCCTTAGAGAACCTCTAGCTGCGTACATCTACTTTGGACCAATTTAATCTTATATTTCACCCTTAGAGAACCTCTAGCTGCGTACATCTACTTTGGACCAATTTAATCTTATATTTCACCCTTAGAGAACCTCTAGCTGTGTATATCTACTTTGGACCAATTTATTCTTATATTCCACCCTTAGAGAACCTCTAGCTGCGTACATCTACTTTGGACCAATTTATTCTTATATTCCACCCTTAGAGAACCTCTAGCTGCGTACATCTACTTTGGACCAATTTAATCTTATATTCCACCCTTAGAGAACCTCTAGCTGCGTACATCTACTTTGGACCAATTTAATCTTATATTCCACCCTTAGAGAACCTCTAGCTGCGTACATCTACTTTGGACCAATTTATTCTTATATTCCACCCTTAGAGAACATCTTGCTGCGTACATCTACTTTGGACCAATTTATTCTTATATTCCACCCTTAGAGAACCTCTTGCTGCGTACATCTACTTTGGACCAATTTATTCTTATATTCCACCCTTAGAGAACCTCTTGCTGCGTACATCTACTTTGGACCAATTTATTCTTATATTCCACCCTTAGAGAACCTCTAGCTGCATACATCTACTTTGGACCAATCTACTACCAGAAACTGAAGCACATGGTGGTTGACAAGATGCATGCACGAGCCAAAGGACCACGAGCAGTGTTGACCAGGCAGCCCACTGAGGGCAGGTCTCGTGATGGTGGGCTCAGGCTGGGCGAGATGGAGAGAGATTGTCTGATAGGATATGGTGCCAGGTAGGCTGGGGATTGGTGCCAGGTAGGCTGGGGATTGTCTGATAGGATATGGTGCCAGGTAGGCTGGGGATTGGTGCCAGGTAGGCTGGGGATTGGTGCCAGGTAGGCTGGGGATTGGTGCCAGGTAGGCTGGGGATTGTCTGATAGGATATGGTGCCAGGTAGGCTGGGGATTGGTGCCAGGTAGGCTGGGGATTGTCTGATAGGATATGGTGCCAGGTAGGCTGGGGATTGTCTGATTGGATATGGTGCCAGGTAGGCTGGGGATTGGTGCCAGGTAGGCTGGGGATTGTCTGATAGGATATGGTGCCAGGTAGGCTGGGGATTGTATGATTGGATATGGTGCCAGGTAGGCTGGGGATTGTCTGATTGGATATGGTGCCAGGTAGGCTGGGGATTGTCTGATTGGATATGGTGCCAGGTAGGCTGGGGATTGTCTGATAGGATATGGTGCCAGGTAGGCTGGGGATTGTATGATTGGATATGGTGCCAGGTAGGCTGGCGATTGTCTGATTGGTGCCAGGTAGGCTGGGGATTGGTGCCAGGTAGGCTGGGGATTGTCTGATAGGATATGGTGCCAGGTAGGCTGGGGATTGGTGCCAGGTAGGCTGGGGATTGTCTGATAGGATATGGTGCCAGGTAGGCTGGGGATTGTATGATTGGATATGGTGCCAGGTAGGCTGGGGATTGTATGATTGGATATGGTGCCAGGTAGGCTGGGGATTGTATGATTGGATATGGTGCCAGGTAGGCTGGGGATTGTATGATTGGTGCCAGGTAGGCTGGGGATTGTCTGATTGGATATGGTGCCAGGTAGGCTGGGGATTGTATGATTGGATATGGTGCCAGGTAGGCTGGGGATTGTATGATTGGTGCCAGGTAGGCTGGGGATTGTCTGATAGGATATGGTGCCAGGTAGGCTGGGTATTGTCTGATTGGATATGGTGCCAGGTAGGCTGGGGATTGTCTGATTGGATATGGTGCCAGGTAGGCTGGGAATTGTCTGATTGGATATGGTACCAGGTAGGCTGGGGATTGGTGCCAGGTAGGCTGGGGATTGTCTGATAGGATATGGTGCCAGGTAGGCTGGGGATTGTATGATTGGATATGGTGCCAGGTAGGCTGGGGATTGTATGATTGGTGCCAGGTAGGCTGGGGATTGTATGATTGGTGCCAGGTAGGCTGGGGATTGTCTGATTGGATATGGTGCCAGGTAGGCTGGGGATTGTCTGATTGGATATGGTGCCAGGTAGGCTGGGGATTGTCTGATTGGATATGGTGCCAGGTAGGCTGGGGATTGTCTGATTGGATATGGTGCCAGGTAGGCTGGGGATTGTATGATTGGTGCCAGGTAGGCTGGGGATTGTCTGATTGGTGCCAGGTAGGCTGGGAATTGTCTGATTGGATATGGTACCAGGTAGGCTGGGGATTGTCTGATTGGTGCCAGGTAGGCTGGGGATTGCAGACATGCCTACCCCTGTCAGCCAAAAGTAGGAACAGTTATGCCTAAAAAGAGGAATTTGAAGCCAAAAAGAGGAACATACGCGCGGACGCAACTTTAGTCCGATATAACTAGTCTCTAGGATACATTTAAATACTGCTTAATGTCAGCTTACATTTTAAAAAATAAATTAACCAGTAACCCGAGACCCCCCCCCCCTCCCCCGAATAAAAATCATAGCTTTGACATAACATTATTGGTTTGATTATTTATGTCTTGCTATGTTCTAGGCTATATGAATAACAAATGCTGAAGGCTTCATCATATATAATATAAGTTACGAGCAAAGACCCTTGATCTACCTAGTAAAACTCCTAGTTACTTCTTAATAAGTTCTTCATAATAGTAGTTACTAGTGAAGTTAAACTTACAAGATAGATCAGTATTCACTATTTCAGTATCTACTAGTAGATCTAGTTACAATTCTAGATTTAGTAGTAGTAGATCTACTAACTAGATCTAGATCTAGTATTAAGATGATACTTGTAAATATTGTAAGTAAACTAAGAAACAGAAACGTGTGCCAAAGGGAGATAATCGCCTTTTCCTGACATTTTTTCAATTTACTTTATTATCTTTCTTTATTAACTTTTTTTTTCAAAAAAATCGGAACCAACTCAGTCAATTTCGGGATGACGGAACAAATTACTTTTTTAGGTGAAAAAGCGGGACGGTTCCGATTTTGGCGGGACGGTTCCGATTTTGGCGGGACGGTAGGCATGTCTGGGATTGTCTGATAGGATATGGTGCCAGGTAGGCTGGGGATTGTCTGATTGGTGCCAGGTAGGCTGGGGATTGTCTGATTGGATATGGTGCCAGGTAGGCTGGGGATTGTCTGATTGGTGCCAGGTAGGCTGGGGATTGTCTGATTGGATATGGTGCCAGGTAGGCTGGGGATTGTCTGATTGGTGCCAGGTAGGCTGGGGATTGTCTGATTGGATATGGTGCCAGGTAGGCTGGGGATTGTCTGATTGGATATGGTGCCAGGTAGGCTGGGGATTGTCTGATTGGTGCCAGGTAGGCTGGGGATTGTCTGATTGGATATGGTGTCAGGTAGGCTGGGGATTGTCTGATTGGTGCCAGGTAGGCTGGGGATTGTCTGATTGGATATGGTGCCAGGTAGGCTGGGGATTGTCTGATTGGTGCCAGGTAGGCTGGGGATTGTCTGATTGGATATGGTGCCAGGTAGGCTGGGGATTGTCTGATTGGATATGGTGCCAGGTAGGCTGGGGATTGGTGCCAGGTAGGCTGGGGATTGTATGATTGGTGCCAGGTAGGCTGGGGATTGTATGATTGGTGCCAGGTAGGCTGGGGATTGGTGCCAGGTAGGCTGGGGATTGTCTGATTGGTGCCAGGTAGGCTGGGGATTGTATGATTGGATATGGTGCCAGGTAGGCTGGGGATTGTCTGATTGGATATGGTGCCAGGTAGGCTGGGGATTTCTGATTGGTGCCAGGTAGGCTGGGGATTGTCTGATTGGATATGGTGCCAGGTAGGCTGGGGATTGTCTGATTGGATATGGTGCCAGGTAGGCTGGGGATTGTCTGATTGGATATGGTGCCAGGTAGGCTGGGGATTGTCTGATTGGATATGGTGCCAGGTAGGCTGGGGATTGGTGCCAGGTAGGCTGGGGATTGTATGATTGGTGCCAGGTAGGCTGGGGATTGTCTGATAGGATATGGTGCCAGGTAGGCTGGGGATTGTCTGATTGGATATGGTGCCAGGTAGGCTGGGGATTGGTGCCAGGTAGGCTGGGGATTGTCTGATTGGTGCCAGGTAGGCTGGGGATTGTCTGATTGGTGCCAGGTAGGCTGGGGATTGGTGCCAGGTAGGCTGGGGATTGTCTGATTGGTGCCAGGTAGGCTGGGGATTGTCTGATTGGATATGGTGCCAGGTAGGCTGGGCATTGTCTGATTGGTGCCAGGTAGGCTGGGGATTGTCTGATTGGATATGGTGCCAGGTAGGCTGGGGATTGTCTGATTGGATATGGTGCCAGGTAGGCTGGGGATTGTCTGATTTTTTCAAACAACATAAACATTGAGGTTATCTAGTTAGGTGATCTGGTCAGGTGATCTGGTCAGGTAATCTAGTTAGGTGATCTGGTCAGGTGATCTGGTCAGGTAATCTAGTCAGGTGATCTAGTCAGGTGATCTGGTCAGGTGATCTAGTCAGGTGATCTAGTCAGGTGATCAAGTTAGGTGATCAAGTCAGGTGATCTGGTCAGGTGATCCGGTCAGGTGATCTAAGGTGATCTGGTCAGGTGATCTAAGGTGATCTAGTCAGGTGATCTAGCGAGGTGATCTAGTCAGGTGATCTGGTCAGGTGATCTGGTCAGGTGATCTGGTCAAGTGATCTGGTCAGGTGATCTGGTCAGGTGATCTGGTCAGGTGATCTGGTCAGGTGATCTAGCGAGGTGATCTAGTCAGGTGATCTAAGGTGATCTGGTCAGGTGATCTGGTCAGGTGATCTAGTCAGGTGATCTGGTCAGGTGATCTGGTCAGGTGATCCAGTCAGGTGATGTGGTCATGTGATCTAGCGAGGTGATCTAGTGATAAAATGTCTTCCTTCCAGCATGCTGTTGTTGGAGCGTCTAATGATATCCAGTGATGAGTTTGAGGTGGACGTCTGTGGTCAGTGTGGTCTCATTGGCTACTCAGGATGGTGAGTTGGTCTCAGACCCAATTACACTGACATTCTTATAGACCCACATATACCCAATTACACTGACATTCCTATAGACCCACATAAACCCAATTACACTGACATTCCTATAGACCCACATAAACCCAATTACACTGACATTCCTATAGACCAGGGGTCTCCAAACTACGGCCCGCGGGCCGGATGCGGCCCGCGAGGTCCTCTTATCCGGCCCGCGGAGATCTTTTTGTCCACGGAAAAAAACGTTTGTTGGTGATGGCTGAGGAAGTTCGCTCAGAAAAATCAAAGACATGCCTGGAAGAAATTGGCCCCCAAACTGAAATTTGATAGTTGATGCGGCCCTCGGACTGAAAAGTTTGGAGACCCCTGCTATAGACCCACGTATACCCAATTACACTGACATTCTTATAGACCCACATATACCCACATACACTGCCATACACACCTGTGAGCCACATACACACCTGTGAGCCACATACACACCTGTGAGCCACATACACACCTGTGAGCCACATACACACCTGTGAGCCACATACACACCTGTGAGCCATACACACCTGTCAGCCACATACACACCTGTCAGCCACATACACACCTGTCAGCCACATACACACCTGTCAGCCACATACACACCTGTCAGCCACATACACACCTGTGAGCCACATACACACCTGTCAGCCACATACACACCTGTGAGCCACATACCCACCTGCTCTAACCTGTGGATGTTATCCCTGCTACCAGGTGCCAGTACTGTAAATCCTCTAAAGACGTGTCCACCCTAAAGATGCCGTATGCTTGCAAGCTGTTATTCCAAGAGTTGCAGTCCATGAATATTGTACCCAGGCTCTCACTCAAGCGCTACAATGAGTTGTAGCATTCACTCCATCTGGTTGTGTGTGTGTGTGTGGGGGCTGTGAGTGTGTGGGGGCTATGTTTGAGAAGGGAATGTCTGATTTATCTCCCTGTACATTTCTGAGTGCAATTGTTCTAGACATTGTATGCTTGAGTGCACACAATGTTGATGTGTCTTGATGCTTAATTTGATGTGAATAGGGTCATGTTGAGTGTCAGCTTCCAACCAATTTGTTGTATGCAACATTTGAACACTTTGATTGTTTGAAACTGTTGAAACATGTTGCTGACCTGTTTATGTACCTTCAGTAAACAAGTTTTTTGTTTTATATTTGGGGTTGTTGTTTTGTTGTGATGGTGTGTGCTAGACAATGGATTGATGGGATATCATCTGGTCAAATTTTGTTGTGATGGTGTGTGCTAGACAATGGATTGATGGGATATCATCTGGTCAAATTTTGGTGTGATGGTGTGTGCTAGACAATGGATTGATGGGATATCATCTGGTCAAATCAAAGACTGCCCTAAGTCACCTCAGATGCAAGTAGATCTGTACAACTATAATAATACCAGGTTTTCTTATGATCAGTTTCTTCCAGGCATCTCCCCCCCCCCCCCCCCCCAGTGAAAAAAAGTCTGAAAGAAACACTGCTTATGATGTCCTCCCCATTTGGTACATTGCTCTTGTAAATGATATTTTTATCAGGGGTTGGTTCTTATGTTTTTCTTGATTGTATTTGTAAAGGAAAAAATTCTAATCAACATTACTAAAGGGACATAATCTTACTGCTCATTGGACCTCTGCTCAAGGGTAGCTCCCCTTCTTATCACCAAGTATACAGCTACCAACTTGCACATATTGTGAGTACTTTATGAACTAAAGCAACTGACTTGTACATATTTTGACTACCTTATGCGCCTGTAACAGAAAGGTTTCAACTTATTAATTGAGTTGCTATTTATCTGTATATATTGCAGGCGTGGGTATTGTGTGTATTTATATACTACTGTTGCTATAGTTTTTTACAAAGAGACAAATGTTTAAAAGTCGCAAGGGCCCATCATGTGTTACATAAACTTATTGAATGTTAATCGCAGAATAAAGTTGGCTCCTTTTAATGCAGCATAAATGTATCACATAAATCAAGTCAGTAGACCTTCCCTGAGTCCACCCAAATCTGATGGGTACCTAACTCACGTTAGGGAAAGTAAACGCGACTAGGCATAGTGCTGACCACACTATCTCTTCATATGCCGAGGTCAAAGGAAACAAGTGAACTCTACTTGCCCTATAGACCGTCAGGTTTGAAAGGGAACTTGACATAAATGTACATCACATAAAACACATAAATGTGTCACCTCATAAATATCAACACATGTATACCACATAAATGTATCAACATATAAATGTGTCACCATATAAATGTATCGCCACATAAATGAAGAGATCCGTGAATGTATCACTCATGTGACCTTGCCCTTTGAGAGTCTAATGAGCTTTGTCAAAACAAAATTGAGATGGTATGTCCATGTCACAAGATCAAACGGCCAACCCAAACAATAATTCAGGGCATTGTGCCAGGAGGGAGATGAAGGGGATGGCAAACACGTCAGTGGGTGGAGGACATCAAGTACTACTCAAGGCAGCAGAGGGTAGAGATAGATGAGAAAATCAACTGTGGTGCCCCAACGACCCCGTGAGGTTTAATGGATGACTGATTGACATGTGTTGAAATCTGTGGGTTTCTTCACCTTTGTATACCAGAATTAGCCTTGGCGGGCATCCATAAATGAAGTCACGCTTTTTTGACGATTTTAATTTAACCCCCCCCCCCCTTTCCGTCACACATCGACACAACAAAGCCAGACCCCATCCCCCTAAAATGACGTCACGGCCTCGCAGCTATTTTTTTAAACATAATTTTTTTTAAAATATTGACTGGGCTTGGTTAATAAAGAACATTTTAATCCATTTCTATTACAATTTATTAAAAGTTTCCTATAATGCGAAGTAACACTGTTAAAAGTATATATTTTCTATATAAATTATAGCCTATACATTTCATTTTGTTCGGGGGAGGGGGGGGGGCGGTAGAATTTTTTCGGGGGGCAAAGCCCCCCCCCCCCCCCCCCCCCCCAGAAGAGATGCCAGGAAGAAACTCTGATTGCGAAAAAAAAAATGAGCATTAAATATGGTGTAACGTCAATTTTGAAAAACGGTTTTTTTAAAGAAATCCTTTAGGTGCCACGAACTATCTTTTATTTTCATACACTTGCTATGTGTATCAATTTTAAATTCCTCCAGCGTCCTGTGGTGTATTTTACATCTAAAAGGGGAGAAAACTATTGATATTTAGTTTGAACAACAGCCAAAAGAGAGTTTTCTCCCCTGTGACAGCATTATCGCTAAACATCCTTGGCAGAGCCTCAAATGTTGACAACGGTGTCAACGCAAACTTTTTACCTGCGAGGTCATTGTGGTTTTTGAAAACAACCTAGGCCTATATTCGAGTTCGTCTCAGCGATTCATTACGGATGTTATGTTGTACGCATGCGCCTCAGGATATATGCTTTATCGAATCGTAGCGGACGATTTTCTTGTTTGACTGAACTGTTATTTCCGTGATCATGTGTTCTAAAAAAATAATGTGATTACCTGTTAGAAAAAAGTGTAATTTCCAGGATTTATTCATGTGATCTTATACAATTGTTTGGTTTCACGGACTACACATGTGATTGTCTTAATTCAAAACCACACGTCGTTTCTCTTGGCGTTATCGTCTGTGTGTTGTGTTTAGTGCAGTGTAAGTGTAGTTAAGAGAGTTGTAGAACTTACCTGACGGTGGATTTCTTATATTAGATTTTCTTAGCTTAGTTTTGGACCTAGATTCCGCGCTAGGCACATTTATTTAGGCCCAGGTCTCTTTATTTAAAACCATTTTTAAGGCCTTCCCCAATTATTACAATCAAGCTATTCGTTTAGAGTTTAGTAGAAAGAAAAGATGCTAAATGTAGATATAATCATGTACTTATTATATTATTAACTATTTAAATTTACATAGATTCTCTAGATTCTAGATCTAGCTATGAATTATAAAATATTATAAGAATATTATTATTATAGGCTATTAAAAGACTTAATTAAAGCATGCGTAGACTCCCCTCTAAGTCACTATAAGCTAATATGATTCTTTAATTTTAATTAGAATTGACCTAATCTAGATCTTGATCTATATTTATTCCATTTAGAAATATAGATCTAATAGAAATAGAATCTAGATTATAATAGATTTAGATCTAGATATCTAGAAATCTATACCATTTTTTGTAACACGCCCTTTCCAATTCTAAAGTTTTTAGGTTACGTTACGGTAGTCGTTAAAAATATTGAAGTATCTCATTCATAAAACAAGCGGCAATCTAGATCTTTATATCTAGATCTACAAATAAACACAATTAACATAGATTTACATATGTTATTTATATTCAGATTTAATTTTACTAATTTTATGTTTAGATCTAAATCTAGACTATTCTAGACCTGCCAGTCAAATGTATAGATCTAGTCTAGATCGTATTATAGATCTAGACCAAATAGGCCTCTCTCTAGATCTATAAATATAATCAAGACTAGATATTTTCTTTTATGAAAATTATGAATTTTTTCACTTTTTACGAAACTTTTACTATATTTCTAGATCTATATAATCTAGATCTAGGTAAAAATTTACCGTCAAAACGTTTAACCTAGTTAAAATAACAAAATAGCTGGAGAGATGGGGTGACACCAAACCAAATATTCACAATTGTTTGAGGGGGTGGGTTGACACCCTCAGTTAACGCACCGGGTGACACCCGACCTAGTGACGCCACTGTATATATTAGTAACTTTTGTCAGGGGATTTTAGCGTTAGTTTTTGTTAAATAGTTTATTTGATGTGTCAATTGAGTTGTTTTGGTTTTAGTATAGTAGTAGGCTCACTAATGGTCTAGTATTTTCAACACGAAGTTATTTTTTAGGCCTAAGTTTAACCAAGTTATAAGAGAAAAATAAAATTCTGTGTTGAAATTCAGTCCAGGAAGTGTGTAAGTTAGACTGTGGTGACCTCAAATTCTTGAATACATTGATGGATTGTCTCCAACACATGGGAACATAATATGAAATGACAGGTGAGTTGTATTAGTATTTACCTTTTAATATCTCATAGTTTAGTTATGGATACAGTTTGGCCATAGAATATTCTTATTTGACCGTTTAGTTACAGAAGATAGAATATCTAGTTGATTTTAGATGTTGCCTCCCGATTTCCGAAATATCCAATAAATAACAGCTTAAATTGTGGCTGCTTTTACCTGAATTTTCTGCCAATAGATCGATCTATCTCGCCCAGGTGTGTTGAGGTAGAAAGTATGAGGTTAACCAGGTGTGTTGAGGTAGAAAGTATGACGCTAACCAGGTGTGTTTAGGTAGAAAGTATGACGCTAACCACATGTGTTGAGGTAGAAAGTATGACGCTAACCAGGTGTGTTGAGGTAGAAAGTATGACGCTAACCAGGTGTGTTGAGATAGAAAGTATGACGCTAACCAGGTGTGTTGAGGTAAAAAGTATGACGCTAACCAGGTGTGTTTAGGTAGAAAGTATGACGCTAACCAGGTGTGTTGAGGTAGAAAGTATGACGCTAACACGCCTGCTTAATTTCTGCCCTGTCTATGCTACGTAATGCCAGCAACCACCCGACGCATGCGTACAAAGTTATTCAAACAACTTATTTACGATGCCCTGGTTCAGTTGTCCAGTGTGTATGATACTTGCCTGAAAACCCCATCAAACCTCAGGAAACTCAGTGAAATATTACCAGTTATATCCACTGGATTAATGCGTGACGCCCATGAGTGGCACCCCGTTGCCTGTCTCAAGCCTGACTGTACTGTAGCGGCCATTCAAATTCCTGCTTCTCGCCCGTCTGTGTTCAACCATGCAGCCCACTGACTCCTTAGACCAGCTATCTATATAGCCATCTGTATCTGCTCCGTTGGTCTACACTTCTATACACTTCAATCTACTATATTGGGCGGGGCGGTATAAAATCATCAATTAACACTCCCAGACATTGAACGTTAACTGTTTTTTTATAAGGGATTATGTCCGTTTATTTAGTGACTGGCAGAGATTACAAGGGATGGCGTCCCCTCAGACCTCTGTGGTTGAATCAATCATCACTTCAAGTCACGTGCTATACCCGCTCAAGTTGTTGGTGACCTTATCTGATCCCATCACTTTAGTGCCCCCCCCCACACCACCCACATGTTATGACATCATCACCTTGTTCCCGTTTGTGGGGGTCTGGTCACACAGGACGGAATTCGTGCCGGGATCTGGGCGGCTGAGTCTCCTCGCTAGGTGTGTCACCAAGTCGAGTCTTGCATCAGACAAAATACTTTCATCCACAGCAGACAAAATACTTTCATCCACAGCAGACAAAATACTTTCATCCACAGCAGACAAAATACTTTCATCCACAGCAGACAAAATACTTTCATCCACAGCAGACAAAATACTTTCATCCACAGCAGACAAAATACTTTCATCCACAGCAGGCAAAATACTTTCATCCACAGCAGACAAAATACTTTCATCCACAGCAGACAAAATACTTTCATCCACAGTAGACAAAATACTTTCATCCACAGCAGACAAAATACTTTCATCCACAGCAGACAAAATACTTTCATCCACAGCAGACAAAATACTTTCATCCACAGCAGACAAAATACTTTCATCCACAGCAGACAAAATACTTTCATCCACAGCAGACAAAATACTTTCATCCACAGCAGACAAAATACTTTCATCCACAGCAGACAAAATACTTTCATCCACAGCAGACAAAATACTTTCATCCACAGCAGACAAAATACTTTCATCCACAGCAGACAAAATACTTTCATCCACAGCAGACAAAATACGACAGCAGACAAAATACTTTCATCCACAGCAGACAAAATACTTTCATCCACAGCAGACAAAATACTTTCACCACAGCAGACAAAATACTTTCATCCACAGCAGACAAAATACTTTCATCCACAGCAGACAAAATACTTTCATCCACAGCAGACAAAATACTTTCATCCACAGCAGACAAAATACTTTCATCCACAGCAGACAAAATACGACAGCAGACAAAATACTTTCATCCACAGCAGACAAAATACTTTCATCCACAGCAGACAAAATACTTTCATCCACAGCAGACAAAATACTTTCATCCACAGCAGACAAAATACTTTCATCCACAGCAGACAAAATACTTTCATCCACAGCAGACAAAATACTTTCATCCACAGCAGACAAAATACTTTCATCCACAGCAGACAAAATACTTTCATCCACAGCAGACAAAATACTTTCATCCACAGCAGACAAAATACTTTCATCCACAGCAGACAAAATACTTTCATCCACAGCAGACAAAATACTTTCATCCACAGCAGGCAAAATACTTTCATCCACAGCAGACAAAATACTTTCATCCACAGCAGGCAAAATACTTTCATCCACAGCAGACAAAATACTTTCATCCACAGCAGACAAAATACTTTCATCCACAGCAGGCAAAATACTTTCATCCACAGCAGACAAAATACTTTCATCCACAGCAGACAAAATACGACAGCAGACAAAATACTTTCATCCACAGCAGACAAAATACTTTCATCCACAGCAGACAAAATACTTTCATCCACAGCAGACAAAATACTTTCATCCACAGCAGACAAAATACTTTCATCCACAGCAGACAAAATACTTTCATCCACAGCAGACAAAATATTTTCATCCACAGCAGACAAAATACGACAGCAGACAAAATACTTTCATCCACAGCAGACAAAATACTTTCACCCACAGCAGACAAAATACTTTCATCCACAGCAGACAAAATACTTTCATCCACAGCAGACAAAATACTTTCATCCACAGCAGACAAAATACTTTCATCCACAGCAGACAAAATACTTTCATCCACAGCAGACAAAATACTTTCATCCACAGCAGACAAAATACTTTCATCCACAGCAGACAAAATACTTTCATCCACAGCAGACAAAATACGACAGCAGACAAAATACTTTCACCAGCGGCAAACAGTTTCGTCATAAAGTGCGGGGGGGGGGGGGGTATGTTGGTCAAGGCGACACCGTTTAGGCGGCTGATACCAAACCAAAGATTATAATTTACTGGTCTAATTATAAAACGATTTGAGTTCACAGCTACAGTAATTACAATTTGATGATCTGACTTGGCGTGACACCTACGTTTAAATTATTAAATTTTCCAACTTAAATATGGGTATAGGATTGGGGGTGAGGGGGTGGGGGGACAAATTAATCATTCGACGTGTGTCTGGTGATTACTGGACATTACTAATTGTGACCCCATCTATCTGTGGGTGTGACGTCAGGTTTTAAATTAGCTTTATGTCCATCTGTTTTGGTTTACAGCGTAGGCAAGAAAACATGACTGGCGACTACAGCATTATTGTGGAGATTAAATTAGGTCAATGCTCGAAATGTATCAGAGATAGTGTGAGTTTAAGATGGGGATGGTGAGGTGTGAGTTTAAGATGGGGATGGAACCTTGAGGTGTGAGTTTAAGATGGGGATGGTGAGGTGTGAGTTTAAGATGGGGATGGTGAGGTGTGAGTTTAAGATGGGGATGGTGAGGTGTGAGTTTAAGATGGGGATGGTGAGGTGTGAGTTTAAGATGGGGATGGCACCTTGAGGTGTGAGTTTAAGATGGGGATGGTGAGGTGTGAGTTTAAGATGGGGATGGTGAGGTGTGAGTTTAAGATGGGGATGGCACCTAGAGGTGTGAGTTTAAGATGGGGATGGTGAGGTGTGAGTTTAAGATGGGGATGGTGAGGTGTGAGTTTAAGATGGGGATGGTACCTTAAGATGTGAGTTTAAGATGGGGATGGAACCTTGAGGTGTGAGTTTAAGATGAGGATGGTGAGGTGTGAGTTTAAGATGGGGATGGTGAGGTGTGAGTTTAAGATGGGGATGGTGAGGTGTGAGTTTAAGATGGGGATGGTGAGGTGTGAGTTTAAGATGGGGATGGTGAGGTGTGAGTTTAAGATGGGGATGGTGAGGTGTGAGTTTAAGATGGGGATGGTGAGGTGTGAGTTTAAGATGGGGATGGTGAGGTGTGAGTTTAAGATGGGGATGGTGAGGTGTGAGTTTAAGATGGGGATGGCACCTTGAGGTGTGAGTTTAAGATGGGGATGACACCTTGAGGTGTGAGTTTAAGATGGGGATGGTGAGGTGTGAGTTTAAGATGGGGATGGCACCTTGAGGTGTGAGTTTAAGATGGGGATGGTGAGGTGTGAGTTTAAGATGGGGATGGAACCTTGAGGTGTGAGTTTAAGATGGGGATGGTGAGGTGTGAGTTTAAGATGGGGATGGTGAGGTGTGAGTTTAAGATGGGGATGGTGAGGTGTGAGTTTAAGATGGGGATGGTGAGGTGTGAGTTTAAGATGGGGATGGCACCTTGAGGTGTGAGTTTAAGATGGGGATGGTGAGGTGTGAGTTTAAGATGGGGATGGTGAGGTGTGAGTTTAAGATGGGGATGGCACCTAGAGGTGTGAGTTTAAGATGGGGATGGTGAGGTGTGAGTTTAAGATGGGGATGGTGAGGTGTGAGTTTAAGATGGGGATGGTACCTTAAGATGTGAGTTTAAGATGGGGATGGAACCTTGAGGTGTGAGTTTAAGATGGGGATGGTGAGGTGTGAGTTTAAGATGGGGATGGTGAGGTGTGAGTTTAAGATGGGGATGGTGAGGTGTGAGTTTAAGATGGGGATGGTGAGGTGTGAGTTTAAGATGGGGATGGTGAGGTGTGAGTTTAAGATGGGGATGGTGAGGTGTGAGTTTAAGATGGGGATGGTGAGGTGTGAGTTTAAGATGGGGATGGTGAGGTGTGAGTTTAAGATGGGGATGGTGAGGTGTGAGTTTAAGATGGGGATGGCACCTTGAGGTGTGAGTTTAAGATGGGGATGACACCTTGAGGTGTGAGTTTAAGATGGGGATGGTGAGGTGTGAGTTTAAGATGGGGATGGCACCTTGAGGTGTGAGTTTAAGATGGGGATGGTGAGGTGTGAGTTTAAGATGGGG